CCTTAGATTATCGTTCAATCTCTGTTTTTGAAGTTTTTTCCCTCTTCTCCGAATGTTATGTGGGTCCGTTCGTGTTTGTATCATGAATGGCTTCTAAATCATCTATGATTCTAACTCATAGAAGGATAAAAATAAGATAGAATAATTTTAATGTAATTCTTTTACTATGACAGTCAAAATCATGGTCCAATTTTTGGTTGTCATTTTATCCTCCACAGATTTATCTGAAGAAATATTTTAACTTCTATATCCTTTTTTATTCATGTTACTATTAAATATTTTCTCCTTGTCATTTATAGATCGGCGGAGCCTACTGGTTCAAAACACAGGATTTTGCGTAAATTGATTTCGCTCCCCTTCCTGTTAAAATACCTAGCTTCTAGTTTGCACATTCCACGTCATATCGACCATTATAATGCTTAAATTGAGTTATTCCTCTTTCTCTGAGAGGAAGAAGAGATTCTTCTCTTCCTCTGTATACAGTCATTAACTAATATACAAGATTTTTTTTTTGAGGGGGGGGGGGAAGCGACTATTGAGGAGGTTTTTTCAGGCAAAATTAATCTATTCATGTTAACTGCCCAAGCACTTGCCCTATGGCTGTTCATTTTTTGGTGATACTTAATGGTTATTCTTCTGGCAGTTTTCTTTCAAGCATAGGTAACATTACTTCCATCACAGAATGGCATCCAACAGGGGTCAAGGTGGAATTCAACAGTTGTTGGCTGCAGAGCATGAAGCACGGCAGATTGTGAATGCAGCTAAGAATGGTATTCTTAATCTCGTTTGTTCCCCCTCCTCTATGCTTCCGTTATTGGCATGAGTGAATCTATCTCTTTCTCCTTGTATGTATTTGGCTATTTTTCATCAAAATTCACATTTGTAATGAAATGATTTAATCCAAAAAGTTTTAGCTCCTCCCCACCCCTCCCTCCTTTGTTCCTTTGTCTTTTCATCCTTACTTGAAAGCATGAGTGAACTGGTCATATGATGGGAATGGGCTTGCTGCTCAGACATGTGTGATTGTATAATCCCCAAAAAGAAAATATTAACATTTGATAAACTCCATTTGTTATTTCATTATTGATATTAAACTTTCTGTTGTTAGAAAAATTGGCTAGGCTGAAGCAGGCCAAGGAAGAGGCGGAAAAGGAGATTTCTGAATATCGAGGTCAGGTGGAGTACGAGTTCCAAAAGAAATTGGCAGAGGTGAGGCTATGCTTATGGTAATAAGTAAAGATATTAAGCTATTCCTAGATTTTGTTGTTATTAGTTATGGAGACCAAATTGTCTGCACTATTTTCAATGAACACAGAGTAGTGGAGATTCTGGTGCCAATGTGAAGCGGCTTGAGCAAGAGACTGAATCAAAGATCAGTCACCTCAAGACAGAGGCTGAGAGAATATCTCAGGATGTTGTTTCTTCTATGCTCCTCAAGCATGTAACTACCGTGAGAAATTAAGGTCCTTGATGGTGTATTAATGCTCAATCGATACCAATCATTATTTTTGAATTTATTGTTGATTTTAGATTGTCTGCTACGTAATAAGATTCCTGCTTTGCTGGAATGTTGTAACAAAAATAATCTGAGGCTTGTTGAACCAATCAATTTGTTGGCATGCACATTTCATAAAATTCCTTGTTGCCTTACGAGCTGGAATGCAGTTGTATTTTCTGTGAAAGTAGCCTCTGATTTTCTTACCCCCCCTTTCACTTTAACTGCTATACCGCCCATTCCCCTTATTCATGGCATTCTCCCGCCAAATCTGGGCCGGGGATATGTTCTTGTGGTGCGCAATATAGTTCTAAGGTTGAATGCTATGTTAAAAAACCACGAAGAATATGGATAACGTATAAATTCCTTTTAATTTGGGAATGCATATGCTGAAAGAGAATGACTGCTACGAGTAGCAGAAGTTTTTTTTTTTTTTAAAAAAATATAATAAGCTGTAAGGAGCAAAAAGATCCTTTGTTTTCGGGTGGTTATGCCTCTCTAGTTGACTCTTTAGTTGACGCTCTATTTGAGTCATTTTCACATCGTGTGCCTCAACGTTAATAAAAGTGATTTTAGTCTTTAAGAAAAAAGATAGCCAGAAATCAGAAGGCAGAAACTAGAAAAAATTGTTTCAACTGTAAAGTGGTTTTTGGGCAGGTTAATTGACCTCAGGGTCATATTAAACATGATTTTTAGTCCAACTAGCTTTATTTTTTTCTCTCCTCCTACTAACTTCTAAGACTTTTGTAATCACTTGGACCTTAATATGACTTTCACACCGAGAAAAAATAACTTCTAGCTCAAATAAATGTTTCGACTGACTATTAGGCCGCAGACTTCTAGACTAGAAGCTAAAAGCAACTCGTAGTTTCTTCTAGTTTCTGGCTTTTGGCCTCCTCATCTTCATTTCTTTCTTTTTTTTTTTCCCTCCTATTTTGAGTCTGCATTCAAACAGTTGTTTGTCATTATATCACACCATATGACTTTTATCCAATTTAAATTTTGTAAAAGTCAAATTAAAAGAATTTACTTTTATTATCGTTAATCCAAACACACCTTTATATAAGTACTTATAAGCATGTTTTTATAAGTTAAAATAAAACTTTTATCATATATTTATCTCGTATTTTATAAATTACGATTGAAAAACTGTTTATAAGTTATTTTAAACAGGACGTGATGCCAAACAAGCTAAACTCTTAAAAGAACTTGGATGATATTACTTTCTGCACAACGTGTCCATTTGTTTACCCATAACACTTTGAATCCATATTATGATATAATCTCAGTTAAAATACGTTTAAAGTTGTTAACAAACTGCATCTCTGTCGGATCTTCTTTTGAGAGAACGGGCAACATCCGGGGGATCCTATACGTGTGCAGATCCCACTTCCTACCCTACTTTTCTGATTTCTTCCCTGAATCCACACGAGAATAGATTTCATATCAGCTTTGTGAGGACTGAGTCTTTTGTATTGTTTGTCGAGTTATTTTTTCCGCGTTCGTTTACTGATACACGTAAAAGAATTATTTTTTCAATATAAAACTATATGTCTAGCCTATAAATGAAAACATTTCACATAAAGGACCTTATTTCTAAAATTATTTTACGTTAACCGCCTAAAAAAATTATTTTTACATGTTTCATGGGGCCAAAAACTTGTCGTCTTAAAAATTGTCCTCATTTTTTTTGGTAGACTATAAAAATCGCATGGTACTCTCAGCTTGTAGATGCAGTGGCAACACTGGTGAAAGGACCGGTTTCTTTTTAGTACACCTCCCTTGATTGTAATTCTAAGCCATTCACATTAAATTCAAATGGCATAATTAATATTTTTCCAAACCAATCCATTTGTGCTTGGATTGGACTTTAAGATCTAAAAGTCTCCTTGACCCATTCACTCTTCCCAAATGTTTTCGGTTATTATTGTACAGGCAGCTGCTTTCCCTCTTAATATTACTGTTGCCCTTACCCACACACACACGCACGTTTATATATTTGTACTTTCTTGCCCATTTATGAAATCCATGCTCCATGTTTGGGCCGCTTCCTTCTTCCCTTCTCCTTCCTAGCTCCACCATGTGTTGGTAGCCAAAATTAAAGGCATCCCAAGTTGCAGCACTCACTACACATCGACATTACCTGTTTCTTACTCACTGTGATTACTAAGCTTCACTGTTCGTGTCGTGCATGTTTGGTGAAGATGTTGCCCCAGGACCCACACATTATTAACAGCACCCTCTACAGCATTGATGATGCCACCTAAGGCCATCTCAGACTAACCCTGCATTTTATTTTTAGGACTTTTGCATCCAACAACGTCAAAACATCAAACTTTCACGCCAAACAGAGCAAGTAATCACATTACTTACTCATAGTATTGGCTTATGATCATGTCCAATAATCGGGTTTCATGAGATAGAATACTACCAATGCGTAGTATTTGAGGACTTGTTAATATCTGCATCGAAGCTCATAACGTCTCCAATAGCAGCTCGTCGTGGATAAACAAATTTTGGGTTTTTCAATTCATTATTGGGTTATCTTCTCAAGGGTTTGTATAGTATGAGTAACAGGGAGTGCTGGAACAAGGCATTCATTTGCGACTTCCTCACTTTTATGAGCATTCCTCCTCTGCTCTCTTCATGTCTCTCTCTGTCTATTCCTCTGCCTCTCTCTGCTTCACAATGAATTGGTCGTCAAGCAGCCCAGCTTCTATCATGTCTTTTGAAGCATCACCGACCTTTCCAATTAGTTTATTTTGCATAACCCATGATGCGTAATAATGTTAGTCTTTTAATTAACAAAAAAAAACGATTTAAAGTTTAAATATACAAACAGCATATATACATGTGAGTGGTCTGAATAATTATAAAACTGGTACAAGTGAACTTACGACTCATTATCGTTGGGACTATCACGAATTAGCTTTGTTAATGGTGCTTTACTTGCTTGAATGAATACTTGGCGACTCTCAATCTATGCGCTTGTCTTCCAATGGAACAGCAAGTCTTGACTGCTTTTATCTTCTGGGTCCATTCAGACAACTCTTTAGAGAAAATGAGAGACACAGAGGCCTTGAGAATCAATTAGGCCTGGCCCACTCTTTAGCCTGGTTTGGTGGCCACAAAAATGTTTTTTCTCACCCAATAATAAACTACCTGTCTGGATTAACTATTAAAAAAATAGTTTTTTTTAGTACAAAATAATATTTGAGAATGATTTTATTTAGTAAGTAAAAACACTTATTTTAAGTTAATTCCAATGGAAATCTGTGTTGAGTTTGCGTTTGGTACGGAGAACTAGAGTGACATTTGTTCTCGTATTTTTTTTGAGCTGAATTTGTTCTCTCATATTTGAAAGGAATTTGTTTGTCGTCAATCTTTCGGTCTGATAAGTAAGTGGGTGAAATATCAAAATTGCCCCCAGCTATTCCTTTCTTCGGGTCCTTCTGTCCCATTTGTTTTTTCAAGAGTATTATGGCCTTGTCTCCTTCGTTGTCCTTATAATTTTATACCCTTCGTTCGCTTTATTTTATTACTCACTTTTTTTGACAGGATATTTTATTTCTTATTAAAATCTTACCAAACAATATTTTAAAAATATCCTATTTTCTTTATATATGTATATATATTTATTTATCCCATTATATCATTTCATTAATTCCACTTTTATTCGTGCAGGCTCCATCGCGTGACCGGACCAAAAAAAAAAAGAAAGTTGGCCGGCTGCAAGACATCAGCATGCAGAAACTTCTTTTTTATTTTAAAAAAAAAAAGAAAGTACAGGATATTCTGATATAGCCATTGGTTTCTTTCTCTGTTTTTTTGGGGGGGGGGGGGACTTGTTAAAGAAACTGGTGATTAGATGAAATTTCGTTGCATGCAATAACTGTCTTCTCTATAGTAAATCCTAGTAAATGCGTAAAATGCAAATACTAATGATTATTCGTGGCAATCAAATGTGAACATGGATAAGCATAATCAATCTCCGATATGTCAAATCAAATGGCCCTCCTATCACCATCAAGGCCGGGACGGGCCCCGCCTGTTAAAATCCGAACCTGGTCGTATATTATGGTCTTTCGGCTCAACTAATCCAATTTGCTTCTTTATGACTTCAAATATTTTGTTCTTTTTTTTTTTTTAAAAAAAAAAATCTCATCTTCATCTAATTCCCACGGAAAGACTTGCCCGTATTCTCCATTTATTCCCTTAATCAGTGCGACCGAAAGGCGATATAAGAGATCTTCATGCAAAAAGAAGATATTGCTTGGATACGGGGTTCAAATTTTATTGCCTGAATTGCAGCCGAAGAAGGAGAAAACAAAGGAGATAATTGAGACAATCATCATCAAGTGCTCATCAAAAGGGGTTGGCCAAGGCAAACACAAAAGCTACTATATAAAAGTTCAAGAATGGCGAAAACTTGGCCGTGAGATTCCATGTTCTTCCGTCGTAATCAGGAACCAGGGAGTTGCATTTCAAATGATGATCAACGGGAATTAAAATATTACAATATGTTTTTTTAATGGGGTGAAAGGGTATGTGAATGGCAGGCCCATATATATGGCTTCCCGTGAATCCTTGATTCGGGAAATGGTATGACATTGAAGGAAGAAGGGATGATGATTGATCAGAAGGGCATGTGGTGCAGGGAGTGACAGAGAATAGAATCTTCAGTGGGAAGGGCAAACACACAGAAAGAGCCAAATACTGGAGTCGTCACGAAAGAAAGGGAAAGTTGTGTGTATTCAGAATGCGAAAGAGTTGGGTTCCAATCAGGCAGACACAGCGAGCAAAGCATCTTATTCCATTCCGTTCATTCCTACCTTTTCAAAATATTTGTTTGGTCGACCTTTTCCCACACCCCTCCCCAATTGGAAATCCTGCAGCTTTATCATCAACTTTACTTCTTTTTCTTTCTCTGCTATCTCTTCAGTGTCCTCCTTGCAGCCTTCTCCATGTGCTTTTGCTCCCGTCACTTCTCTTTCCTCTGCCTGCTACTATTCATTTCTTTTTCTCTCTGCTTCACTTATTCCCTTAATTTGTTTCTGGATTTCCCCAGGTTCTTTTTTTTAAATCATTTTTTAATCCATGCAAGCCTTATATCCAGACTTCCAGAGTTCATCGCGTCTTTGCTTCGGAGGATTGAGAGGCACTAGGTAAATACTTTATCTGCCTATATCATAAAGGGTAATAACCCGATTAGATAAGCATAAAATTTGTGGCTTCTCATGGATGTGCACACTTGTCTTTCTATAGTTTCGTTTTAACAATGATATTGGCGTCACTCCATGGAGTTAGTGCGTTAGTTCAAGTTCACATGGTAGACCAATGTCGCTCAATCATGAGAATCTAGAAGTCTGCCAGAGTAATAACCTTCAATGAAAGGAAGGTTGTGGTTGAAAAATTAAATCTTCCAACAGTTAAATAATAGTAATTCTCATCTTTATCTTCACTATGCACGTGTCACGGTTTACATTCACATTGTAGACCATATATATTTATGGAAGAAGTAACTTAGAGGAACTAACTTGTTACTTTTTTCTTTCGACATTTATGAACGATCTCAGTTAATTTGAAATTTCTGTAAAGAAGTCGGTTTGGAAAAGGGGGAACAAATGAAGAGGAAGAAATTATCAAAGAGCTTCCCCAAGGAGCTCCTATGTAAATGCTATGTGCTGTATTCCTACGTCATTTGTACTAAATAAACAGGCGAACAAAAACAACACGAAGTATAACAAGAAAAGGACAACAAGCAGGGGCAAAATCTTGTTCTTTAAAGAAGTCCAACTGGGGGGAGATAGGAATCTAAATGTGATCCAAACACTTAGAGACAAAATCGAATTCAGAAGATAAAAAAGGACCGATTCCCTTTCTGATATAATGGAAAACAACTTTGAGGAAGGAAGCATTCCTTGCGAGCTATGTTAAACCCTTCTCTTACTTATCCACCCTCTTCATCCCCAAATGTGAGCCCAACTCCCTCATGACTGATCCTAACCCACCCTGAGCAAGTTTAAACAGGAAAAAGACTAGTCGTCCAGGTAGATAGAGTGTTTGTGGAGCTTGGTTTGAATAAGCCCAAGAACTATATATGAGGGACAGTTTTGTCATTTGGGAGAGACCTTTCCTCCTCCTCCTCCAGTATATATGCTGCCAAGTTGCTTCTAACTGGTCCGTGCGGGCTACTCTTGCTGACTCAAACATCGCAGCTTGTGAAGCTAAGGGTATACATTTGGTTAAGCCTGCCTCATGGATCGTCTTCCATGGAGTGCCTGGCTCCCTGTATGCCATTTGCATAGCCCATCAGTACAGTGGTGGCCTTAGCGAATGGCGTGCGAGGAGTCATGCATGCTGTGTATTGCTCTTCATCGGGGCACATTTAATATATCTACCTTCTCATCCCATCTTCTTCAGTTTCTACATTCACTACATTTTTCCAACTCCTTCGTGCGTGATGACTCTACCATTTCTTTTCTTGCTTTGCCTTCTTTACTCACTTGGTTCTCTTGTCTAACTCTTGCTGCTCCGAGATTCCTCTGGACTTGTCTTGAGAGGTAGGTTTCGTTAGGTATTAGGTATACATATGTACATACTTTCAGTAAAGATCGTTATCATATATGTTGGCTTGACAAATTCACAAATATTCCTTGTTCTTCCTGTATTATCGTTTTGGTCGTTTGTTGGCTTCTTTTTGCATTTGTTCGCATCTATATATGACAAATGAATTCAAAGTAAGTCTATGGTTTTTGAATTGATGACTATCGTTTATAAGTCACATCTTCTCAGACAGGGTGAGCATAAAATGGAGCCAGCAGTCAGCTGAAATTTATATCCCCAGTCAATAGTTAGCATGCTTTAATTTATCCAGCAATGAATCATTGTAGAAATAACATCGTGAATTGGTTATGTTGTTTAATCATTGCTGTAGCTTTTGTTTAATATAATCCATGATTATTCACTAATTATATGCACACGTTCAGCTTATAATTTCTGCACACATATATTTCACACTGAATGGTATGTACATAGTTTTACCAGAAAACAGGGTGCCATGTATTTTTTTTTTACCGAGGGATTCCAGTATTTGATCATTTGTGGTGCTAAAACAAGTGAAAATTATAGCTGAGCATCCTCAGTCAAAGATATATATTTATATATAATGACTAATCTTAAATCGTCAAGTTATTTAAAAAAGATTTAAAGCCTAAAAATTTAAACTAAATATACAAATATTTTAAGACTTAGATTATTATTATATTATTCGATTTAAATCTTTTGAAATGATTTCAAAATTTGAAGTCGTTCATATTAGTATTTTTAATTCCGGTTCTTCAACTGTGAACTTTTACATGAATTAATCACACTTTTCTTTAGCTTGCTCAACTTGTAAATTTCAAATGGTAGTAGGATCCAGCTCTTGTTATTCTATTCAATTTTGTTAGGTTAGGCAGTGAAAAGTACTTGGAGGGATGCTGGGTGGCGCACCAAGCTAAGCAAAACAGGGCGAACTCATGATAACTGTCCTTTGTTTCTGTGTCCATTTTTCTATAGGGTCCTTTAATATCCAGGAAGTTGAAGACTAAAAATAACATGATTTGAAGCTTTTAGTATATATAGATGAGATCATCGCATGCAACAGTTGGAGATCTTTACTTGTTCAGTATGTTCATAAACAGTAGAATCTCAACCGCAGTTGACATAATGGCGGGTCACTAAGTGATCCTCACACGCAATGACGCCATGAAAGCCCCACTTCTTGATGCCAAGCTGCTTCTTCTTCAAGGAACTCGTTCGATAATTGATACTGTAAGAGATTGTTGCATGTACCTTCCAGACTGTCCCTTATCACAGAGTCTTTTTTTTTTTTTGGTGTGGGTGTATATAGTGCTGGATCAATTACATTCAATTATATTGTTGTAAACGCTGCTGAGACATCATTATCAAACACTAATAATGTCGACATCTATATGTAGTTATGTAATTTAGACATGGATATCTCTTTTCCCTCTTGCTTTTGTTTCGTTCCTTTGTCATGGAGTTAAAAACCCAAAAAGGAAATTTGTATGGAAATCGTAGTTGTTCAAAAGAATAATACATGGAAATCTTGTTTAGGGAACACTCCAAGAATCATCCCTTGATAAGCTTTTATTGAAAAAAAAATACATGGGTTATTATGATTGACTAGCCGATCACTCTTGAAAATATTTATAAAGAATTCGAAGTTATGCAAGTGTGTCAACCGCTTGGCAGGGGGGTCGATATTTAATCTTCAAGATTATGTTTGAACCTACTTCAAATTATGATGACATTATGCGATGACTTGTAGGTTTATAGTCATTGACCGATTGCTTTGAGGTTTCCTTGTTTTAGTCTTTTAACTCTTCCCTTCCTGTTGTATTGAAAAAAGAAATACTCCAACATGAGAATCGATTTATTGTCTTTTTCCGATCTTGAAAATGGAGACACGGGCAGCGAAATGAAGTTGTTCGTAACAGAATCTGAATCGGTTGGTATCAGTCTAATGTTAACATACGAGAGGCTGCTAAAGTGCCAAAGACAATTCGGAACTTGAAAGAGAGGAAAAAACAAGCATGAAACCAACTTCGGCGAAAGACCACATGAAAATATCCTTATGATCAGTACCTGACTTGTGGAGGCATGAAGCCTTGGGTCTTGAGAGCCCAAACCAATAAAATCACTTCAATTTAAAATGACGAAAGTAAGCTATATTGGTCAAATTTGACGGCCTCGCATGTCAAACTCTGCTCAACCAATACCTCCCAAACAGTGGGTTTTTGCCGCTGGTTTTGCAGGCAACTTTGCTTTCTAATTGATTAAGGTTTTAGTTGACCCGATCATAGCTGCTTGTTTAAATAATGAAAAATGTGTTTGGACATTAAATACTTAAACGGTCAAATATGACCTTTTTTTACGTGTGAACATCTTATTGCTCTACATATTTTGTCACGGTCAAACACAAAAGTATTCTATTGATGTTCTATTAACGTCGGCCTCTAATTAACTTGAATTAATTTCAATAACAAATAATGGCGGTCATGTACAAACTGATAAAAGTTACACGCTATGTTAGAGGCGGCGGAAGGGCAGGGGCACAATTACCTAGAAATGACTATACACAGAGAGACGAGCAAAATCAAAACTTGATGAATCAAAATCAATCCTGAAGAATTTATTTAACGGGCGACAATGACGGAACTCCAAATATCCTGGTTGGCTCCACTGGAAATGGATTCGGGACTTACAGTTACAGGCATTTGCTGCCTTATTTTGATGTTTCTGAGATCAGCAACAAAGCCTGGTTTTGAAATAGGAACACCTTCCATGTCATTAATATTATAGCTGCCGCTCAACATTTCAACGGCCTCTGTCATTCGTGGCCGAAGCCTGGCGATTTCTTGCACGCAAAGCAGCCCCACTTTTAGGAATCGAACTACTTCTTCCGCTACCAAGTTCACATTTGTAATCATAGGATCCACCATTTTTGCTAGCTCTTCGGCTTTATAAGCCGCCCACACCTGCACACATGTTCACACACACATTATTGGAACCCCACGTACACAGTAATGGATTGATCATATCTCTGTTCTTTATTCGTGCTTGTTTTCTCAAGAAAGCGAGAGGATTAAATTTCTTACCTTCTCTACTAGGAAACGATCCATGTCCTGATAAGCATCAACTGCCGGTTGGCCGCTAACAATTTGTAAGAGTAATACTCCAAAGCTATAAACATCCGACTTTCGCGTCAACTTTCCAGTAGTGGCATACTCCGGAGCAAGATAGCCTCTTAAACACATCACAAGAACAAACACACCTTAATTAGCTAGAGAACAAGGAAGATCCGGGTTATTTAGTCAAGTGTTGCGATGTGTTGTCACTTACAATGTCCCTGCGACTCTAGTACTGACGTAGGACTCGCCGTCCATAAATAACTTTGCGAAACCGAAGTCAGATAGTTTGGGTGTGAAGTCTTGATCGAGAAGGATGTTGCTGGGTTTGATATCTCTGTGGACAATGTGGGGTTTTAGTTGCTCATGGAGATAGGCAAGGCCACGAGCCACGCCTATAGATATGTTCCTCCTCAATTCCCATCTGAATTTCATCCTGCTTTCCTCTGTGCCTGCACATATATCATCAACCAAAAGCCAAAGTTATTTATTTCGGGGTCTGCTTCATTTACTACCTGATGCTTATCTACAAACCAAAGAGGTACCTAAAAAGGTGCGGGACAGGCTATTGTTTTCCATGTAATCGAAGACTAAATATCGTCGGGCTTCTTCGACGCAACAACCTTGAAGACTAACTAAATTTTCGTGCTTGATACGAGACATTGTGGCCAATTCTGCCACGAACTCAGTTTCTCCTCGCATGGATTCCAGTTCGATTGAAAGCACTTTCACGGCCACTACATTGCCGTTCCTAAGTTGCCCCTTTACAGGTCAAACACAAATTCAGTGAGTTTTGTATGATCATTAATTAATTGAGGTTTTACAATGGATCACATATCAAGTCTTTCAGTAGTAAAAGAACAAGAATAACCTTGTAAACAGAACCGAATCCCCCTTGTCCAATCTTGTCCCAGGAATTGAAACCACGAGTGGCCAATTTCAATTCGCTGCGAGAGAATACACGAAATGCTTTCCCAGTGCTTCCTTCGGGGTCATCTGCGGAGTAATCACAAACCCAGTATTAGATGAAAGAATTTAAATTAAAAAAAAAAACAAAGAGAGAAAAACAGAATACAGAAAGCGGAACATGTCGATCAGCGGAAGGGATATACCTAGCTGTCTTGGGTCTTTGACTGTTGCCGAGAAACAGGCGAGAAATGAACGAGGAATCTTCATGTCTGAACTGTGAGAATAGAAGCGTAAGCTATCGCTGGATGTCGGGCAGCGCGTATGATATACTACTATATAAAGGTTTTGGAAGCAGCGCACAAAATTTGGAAGAGAACAAATTTGGGGACTGAAGCTAACTCAGAACAAGAATACACGTTAACCCGGTAAGGTTGATTGAACGGGTTCAACTTTCTCCGATTTGAATTTGTTTTCTTAAATAATGTTTTCCAAATTCTCGCAGCTCAATTCCTTTCGGAAGTTTCGTGGGTTCTTCAACCCAATCTGCAACTTCTTCAATTGCTACTGGTGCAATAAAATAATCATGCCTTATTGCCTTTCTAATCTTCTTAATGTTAAATAAATTCATATTGTAATCTTAATTTGATTGAGAAAACTCCACGTGCCCTTTTTGCATGCAGGGTTTTGTTTACCACAAACAGCAATGTTGAATTGAACCACACGGATTAGCCGTCATTCCCTTCTAGCTAGGAAGATACTCCTCCGGTCCTTATTATAAGACCCCATTTGACTTTTTATTTGGTCCTAATTATAAGACCCCAATCTATTTTGTCTCTTATATTTATGCATTTTTTTTCCAAGATAATCCTTCTAATAATGATAGTTTTAGCCAATATACTTAATTAGCAAGGATATTTTAGGAATGACAACACTTATTTATTATAAATAACCAACTTAACTTACTTTCTTAATCTCCTCAAATAAGTCAATTGGGTCTTATAATTAGGACCGGAGGAGTATTATTTTTGTCAAAATAAAATAATCGATAAATTTCTTAGTTAAAATTTGATGAGTGAATACTTTAGTCACAAATCATAAATGTGTTATTGACAAACATCTGCTTTTTATATTATAATTAAAAATTGTGATTGGAAGCATAGAAATGATTGTGTGTGTAATAAAACAATGTGGTTATTATTTTGACTAAAATATACTACCCGTTTTTTAATATAAGATTCAATTGACTAATTTGAAAAAATTAAAAAATTTTAATAAATTACTTTAAAATATTATACTTACTATTTTTCTCCAAACTAATTTTTTTTGGCTTATAAATCAATACATTATTGCAATATATATAAATATTTCAAAGAGATAATGTAACATGTGCTATAATTAATAATTTTCAAGTTTCCTTAATTTTTTTAAAATTAGTTAACTAGGTTTTATATTAAAAATCAGAGTTAGTATATTAAAATAATTACTACTTCCAATCCTTAATTTAAAACCTAATTGACTAATTTCTGTGTATTATTAGATTATATATCAATTGATAAGTTATGCAAATTGGTTGGAAAAAACCAATAAATAGTACTCCTCCGGTCCTAATTATAAGACCCAATTTGACTTTTTATTTGGTCCTAATTATAAGACCCAATCCATTTTCTCTCTTATATTTATGCATTTTTTCCCAAGATAATCCTTTTAATAATGATAGTTTTAGCCAATATACTTAATTAGCAAGGATATTTTAGGAATAACAACACTTATTTATTATAAATAACCAACTTAACTTACTTCCTTAATCTCCTCAATAAGTCAATTGGGTCTTATAATTAGGATCGGATGAGTAATATTTTAAAATAATTTAATGATTTTTTTAAAGATGGCGACTGGAGCTGGGACGTAGTAGTTGATTTGCTTTCCAGATTTCAACAAAGGAGGTGGACGCGTTACATACCTTAAATTTTGTGAAGATTTGAGTTAGTTTCGGAGGTCAACTCTGCTTGTGTCATCAGGATTAAGTAAGCTGGGCGCAATCATAAAAGAAATGCCATGTTGGATTTCCACCTTCATTCTAAGATGCTGGTAAGTTTTAATGATAAATCTTAAACTTACGTTTTCTAAACTAATATTCCCATAATCGACACTGTGGACTGAATTATTCGGGCTTATATCCTCTCACGTCAATTTATTCCTTTTCTTAATTACGACGCAGTGTTTGAAATTGAACCTGAACTTGAACGAGTCTTATCCATCGTGTTTTTTACTTTGATTGTCTCATCCGAATCTGATCATACAGAATTTATCAGTGCCCCCCCGGGTCTATCTTATTTGATGATTTTTATTTAGACCAATTTCGAAGTTGACAACTTCAGCTAAACGCTGCTTTTTATTATTAATAATAACGACAAATACATGTTTAAGTTTTAAATCATTGTCATGTATTAAACGTAATATGCATGAATCAAATCCCTGACACAGGCTTGGGAATTATAGCCATGGCCAAGGGTGCCTACATCAAACAATATAAACAGCTAGCGTGTGATGAGGCATAAAAGTGACAATGGACAGTCCACTTGTGTTGACCATGTCATCTTCAAGATATTTAGGCGTTCTAAACCGCAAATCAGAGATGTAATACTAATTGTTTACCCAAAGACAAAGATATGATTAAATTTATGTGACATTATTGAGTCTTGCACCTATAATATCGCGATCAGATCATGAGATTCTTGCGGTGTCTTGAAAGTTTGCTCACCAACATGGCTAAATCCTCCATCTCCCCGTGAACCACCGGGATAAAGGTTTTACTCCCTCTTTCTGGAGGATGAATTTGACAAATTTCACGGTTCTGCAAAAATTACCAAATTTTATTCCAACTGCGAGGAAGAGAAACAGAAAATATCCAGTTTAACAAGCGTATGTTAACTATTTCCAGAAAATCACAGCAGGAACAACATGGAATTCTTTTGGGTAATTGACATGGAAAGTTGTTTACCAAGAAAAATTACCAGACACCACCGAACTTCCCTGCTGCAGTCTCAAAAGAAAAAAAGAAGAAAAAAACAGAAAGCTACAGTTATCGTACCGTGTGGGAAGCAACGCTATAGGCGGGATTAGGACCAGAATTTGCGATACTGTTATACGGATTTAGCATCAATTATTCATTCTTATACCTGATTTGATAGAATAGAAAAGAGAAATAATTTTAAAAAACGAAAACAAAAGGGAGTCACTTTATGGCAAGCTTCCAGTCCCTCATCAATGGTGTTCCTCGGTGGAGGTTTACGCAATCCCATTATGCCCGCCACCCAAACCTACCGAAAGATTCCATCTTTCTTTTTCTCTTTCGCGTTGCCTCTCCATCAATGCTCTGCGCATTGGTTCGCGTCCATGTTTCCTCCATCAGTCTCGTCCTCCTTAGCCCCTGAGTTTTCACAACAAGTCTGTAGCTCCTCCACGACAAGCCCTGAATCTTCATGTGCGCCAAGTCTCGGAATTGTTTCCCCTCTTCTTCAGGTGGCGTATGCTCGGTTTATCTTCTTGTGAATACTTCCAAGTTTGAATTCTCCCCTGTGATGCAAAGTGCTAGAAAGGAGACAAATTCTGCGTGTTCATACCTTCGGAACATCCGAAACATCCGGATTTTTTGGCCCATAGAGTAAAATCAGACAGAAACACTGTTTTATTTTATTTGAAAAAGGAGCTTCTGGATATTTTTCCTCATTTACAGCAATTTGAAAGAAGCCTCTCATTCCATGGGCAACATAGGAAGTAGCAGCGCTAACGGCCGTCGGAGAAGCAATAGCAGAAGGAATCATCCGCCGCCGCCGCCGTTTAGGCCGCAGCCAGAAATCGCGTCGAATCGGTCTGCGCTTCCAGCATCTACACATCAGACATCGCAATACCCAAACTCGAATCCTTCCCCGTATTTCCAGGACGCAGGTCACTATTCCTCTCCCCATCAGGCTATGCCGGCGCCTTTGCCGGCTCCTCTCGATCACCACCATCGCGCGAGGCCTCATCATCAAACGGACCCATCAAGGACGGGTGGAAGTTACCATTGCAGGCCTGCTATCCCTCCGCTTCCGTATGTAGAGCATCGGAAGGCGGTTACTATAAGGAACGATGTTAATGTCAAGAAGGAGACTCTAAGGATTGAACCCGATGAGCAAAATCCTGGGCGGTTCCTTGTTGCATTCACATTCGATGCCATCGTTGATGGGAGGTAACTTTTGTTACACCATTTTTAGCTGAATAAAGAAAATCTCTGCTATGATTTTCTATCGGATCATGTGAAGAGGATGCCTGCTTAAAGGATATCTGTGTTGTGTCTGGGAATTATATGCCGTCCGTTTGTATTACAGACTGTCATATGAAAGGTTGTTGATAGCTTTTGGGCTGCGAATCACCATTGTTCCTGTTTAATTTGAAAACTACAAATAAGATCGTTTGGTACGCAGTTTGCTATATGAAAACTATAAAACAAATCTGCAAGCCACTAACATCGCGCGCGCGCGCACAACTATTTTCACTTTGTTGTGCTTGCTAATTTGCTATCTGTTCATGCTGTGTTACGTTCTCAACTGTTGAAATTTGATGGCAACTTGGTTGTTAAACTATAATGACAATTTTTACGAGCATAGACGTTACTAGACTAAAGAGCGTATGCTTTGGATGGCTCACTTATTATTCTTCGACCATCTAATTTTGCGGATATTGGGTAAGTTTTCTGAGTAACAAATAGTCATCCCAATGTTAATGGTGATAAAATTCTTCAACAATATAGATGGTCCATGTGAGGAACAAAGACAATATCTGTTAAAGATTGTCAGTTTGGTCTCAAACTTAATTTATTAATGCTAAATTCTTTGTACATATCTCAAAAGACATTCAGCTGCACAATGTTATTTTCTTTTCCCTTCTTCTAAGGGGGGGGGGGTAACAACCACTTGCATAACTTTTATAAGTTGGCTTTATATAGCAATTCTTTTGGCAGAGTTGTAAAAGAAAATTAAATTATGATTAATAATTTACATAACTGGGAAGACTTAATGTATGTTTAGTTTAGTAATGAATTCGAAATGTTAGTGCTGATAAATGCTAAATTTCCGTTGTGTAAAAAAAAAATGCTAAATTTTCATTTCTGCGGGAATTTATCATGATGTCATAATCGTTATGATTGTGATGGAACATGGACATATTTTTAGTATTGTTCTTCATTTATCTGTTCTAATGGTGTTATTTCTTGTTATCTCCATTACAGCATCACCATTCTTTTCTTTGGTAAAGTAGATGATAGCTGCATCCTCACACCAATGAAGCAAAATATTCTAGGCCCCGTAACTGTAAGTTTCCAGCAAGGTCTTGGTCAGCAGTTTAGGCAGCCGATCGGAACTGGTATTGACTTTTCAATCTTTGAGGAGTCAGAATTATCAGAAGCGGGTGTAAGAGATGTGTTCCCTTTAGCAGTGAAGGCGGATGCTTCCTGTGAAAAACAAGATGGATCAAATGAAAATTTAACATCTGGCAACAGAAACTCTCAGATAACTCTCGCAGCATTTGGGAAGGAGAAAGGAGAATTCCGGGTAAAGGTAGTTAAGCAGATCTTATGGGTAAATGAAATGAGGTATGAACTGCAGGAGATATATGGTATTGGAAATTCAGTGGAGAGTGACCTGGACGAAAATGATTCTGGAAAGGAGTGTGTTATCTGCCTCTCAGAACCACGAGACACAACTGTTCTCCCCTGCCGACACATGGTACTTGCTGTATTCATTTCTCATTCAACGTTTATGAATAGATGTTGGTATGATGCTGATTGTACAGCACATGTCAATTTCCAGTAAAGTAATATCAAGTGTTTATCTCAGCCAAACTGAATGATTAGGATTTGTCTTCAATTAGTCTGTATTTGATATTGATGATCATATATATCAGTCCCCGACTTCATCTTGATATACGTTGGCTGCATTCCTTTGCTTGCTGCAGTGTTTGTGTAGCGGGTGCGCTAAGGTTCTGAGGTTTCAGACGAATAGATGCCCAATTTGCAGACAGCCAGTTGAGAGGCTTTTGGAGATAAAGGTCAATAATGATAACAGACCTGAGGACTGACATTAGTAAGATACCGAGCTGGTGCTTCCGGCTTCCAGACCCTGTAAAGCCCAACTATTATATTTGATATTTCTCCCATCGTTACAGTTTTCTTTCCCATACTTTTCCCAAATTTCAATTATGGAAATGGAGATTATGTATGGTAAGCGGTTCGAAAAGGACAGGTGGCTCACATATTACACCTCATTTGTACTATAAGCCAATATATACTGGTCTGGCGTTACACCAAAGTGGGTTGCCATGGAAAAATTTGTAATTACAAGTGTTGTTTCTTCAGGTGACTTATTGTTAAACTTTTATGATTGATGGTTTAGTCGCCCCTCACATATAACCAATAATTTGTTATGCTTCTGCCGACGGGTTTCCCATTTGCTGATAACTAGCTTTATCATTTACGTGGTAGTGGAGTATTTGCAAATTTTAAATCTTTGATTATCATTTCTTAACCGCTTTCATACATTCTAGTGACATTTTAACAGATATGGTTGTTGGATATTTTGTCTGGTTTAAACTGAAGCTGGACATTTCAGGTCACGGAGTGGGTGATGTCTCTGGGTAGTACTAGTAAAGAACATCAAGGGGTCAGTGATGACATTAACCATCATCTGTTTTCTCTCACCATGTAAATATGTTTTCCCCAAGAGTATTATAAAAACACCTGAGAACTGGTGTGTGTGTGTGTGTGGTGATCGTAGCATTTTTATCTCATAACTCATAAGCGGTTACTCCTTAGCTTTTTGGTCATGTTCTTCAGAAGGTACCGATTACTTAAGTTATAGACCTCTTTATGATCTGTCTGAGAAACCAAAAAGGGCGAAATATGATGAACTAAGATAATATACACATAATTATCAGTGCGGAGGACTGATTTAGTTAAAAGGGCAATTGAAGTCAAGCATTCCGTTGATGACTTTGGACTCAATAAAAGACGATGAAATTTATCTTGGCATGTATTAAGGAAAAAGGTAAGAGCGAGTCAACTCGAGTTCGTGCTGGACTATTGCTGGGAATTGGGATTACCAACTGTACATATATCTAATCATGACTCGCGTCAACGGATTTCTCTTTGGCGGCGATCCATGCATCGTGGAAGCAACACTATTATCAGAGCACGAAAAAGCGGCTAAGGTTCATCTTTCTGGTCACACAACAAAATTAACCATGCCTCGTTATCTTTTGTAGTTGTCGTACTAGGCTAAACCCAACCAAAAGCATTTGCGTATTTGTAAAATATCGATCTGCTGGGAATGCATCAATTTCACTTGATCTGGGGGACTTGGTGGCTTGCACCAAGCCAAGCCATTCCCAGCAATAATGGCAGATGATTACTCATGGTTTTCATGAAGTTAAGAATAGTTATTTTAACTTACGTTTAATACCAGGATGCACGCGCTGATTTCATTACCGAACGAGAATGATAATGGTTTTGGTGTAGCACTCCAGGCGTTCACTCATAAACAACAACCTCAACTGCAACAGAACGCAGTAGTTAAGACTTTAATCCTAAAATACATCAAACACAGGAATTCCTACATGGACGCAATCATCACCAACTGTTTTCATCTCCCCACCATTGGTGGACATAGACCCCATTGCTTCTGAGGCCCTTGTAGATATTCATGCAGCTTTCCTTCGTCTTCACACTTTGACCATCGCCGACGTCTGGGCAGCCCAGGAACAGCTCGTTAACGAAACATATAGCTCCGCTTTCAAATATGTCTGACAACAGCTTCATCTCAACCTCTCCAGCATTCATCTTCAGGACCACAAAATCCGCATTTTTCACAGTTTCTTTGAACCACGCAAGGATATCAAACTCTTCGTCTCCCACAAATGGATCCAGGTCGTTCCCGCTATAAATCTCAGCTGTAGTAAGCTTTCCATCCAATCCTGGATGATAAACAAATGCAATGCCAGGTCGTTTCACGTGGGATAACAGGATGGAAGTGTTGTAGTGGACAAAATAGACGCTGAAAGCTTTTTGATCGATGGGGTAAGATGGGATGAACCAATCACTGATATTGGTTTTGTTCAGAAGCTCACCTACTCCGATATCAATGTACACCAACCGTTTCCTACCAGAAATGTCCACAAACTTGGGTAAATACGACATCCCCTTCGCATAATCCAGAGGTCTTTCTTCCTCAAGCGGTTCCATCAGCTTTATGAAGGGCTTGGTAAAGGTAAGACTAGGACAATCAGGTGGAAGGGCATTCTGGTAGAAGACACTGGTTTCGGATCTTTTCTTGAAAACGATCAGATTAAATTCATTGATACATTTGACATGCACGATGCTGGAAGATCTCAGTGATGAAGACACTGGAGCAACGGACCTCATCACGTCATTTGGGTTTGAAGCGTCAGCACCCACAAGGAGGGCTCCGATTCCACCGGGCTTAAGGACGCGCTCAACCTCGAGCACAAGCGGATCAGGGACCGGAATGGTATCTAGGTCCTTGGAGAAGACGAAGTCGAATGAATGGTCGTGGTAATTAAGCTCGTACACAATTTTCTTCTGTTTGAGAGAATATGGGCGCGGTTTATTGAGACCAATGACACTGGAGAATCCCAACCGCTGCATTGCCGGGACAGCCATCGGCGACGCGTCTCCGATACAGAGACTTTTGGCACCGCAGTCCAAAAATTGTTTACCCATCAGCTCAGTGACTACATCGATAGTCAAATTGATATCTTGCTTGCAATTTATAGATTCGAATGAACCCCAAAAGGTGTCCATAACCCGAACATGGAACAAATATGAACCGGGAGTGACGGTTGCAGAATCCGAATCCGAATCCGAATCCGCCAGACAGTCATCGTAGGTGATGGGAGACATTGCTCCCGTATCGAAGGCGGGTAGGACGCGGAGCAAACAAACGATGGAAACAGCAGAGGCAAGCAAGAGTGTACCATAAAGGGCACGCCTCGCAATAGACTCGCGGAGTGTCTGGAGTCCAACGTCTGTTTTATCCATGACGGGTTTGAAAGTTGATGGCCGGAAAAGAGCACGCGAGACAGATATCTGAGAAGAAATGAAGTCGGGAGGCAGAGTAGCTTCTCAAAAAGGAGACAACCTGGATGAATAAAACTAGTGAGAAAATGATTGCCGAAACACAGGAGAGATGCAGAATAAGCGAGCACAAACCCGGTGGAAGTGGGATTCGCATCCAGGAGGATAGCCATTATTTTGAAACCTTGACTCTCCTCGGAGCCCTATTAGGCACGGGCTCGTACCAGCTCTCACCCACGTTTGGAGCACTGAATTGCCACACGAACCCAGGAGATCAACTCGTAGCTCGCAAACTTTGGATTCAGTGAGTGATAAAAAGCACAGGGGCTGAGAAGAAGAAGAAGAAGGCAAGTTGAGTTTAGATTTAGAGCCGGGGGGAAGGAAGCTTCGGTGAACTCCAGGGAGTGAGCAGGAAAGAATAATGGGAGAGAGTTGGGGAAAATATAGAGAAAGAAACAGGGTGCAAAGCAGATCAACGACTCGGCTTTGGCTTTTCCGGTTTACCCCTGGTAGTCTCTGCACTCCACTTGAATTTATTTACACGATTTTTTAGAATTTAATTATTAATCGTTCGAAAAATTTGGGGGGGGAGGCGAGGCTTACGTGGCAGAAGGTGAAGAGGACGCGTGGGTGCATGGGGGCAATGGACCCCGTGGGCGTTGGGGCGGGGATAGCCAAGCACCCAGTGTACTTACTAATTAGGAAGCTTTTCGGCTTTTGTTTGTTTATGAATGATACGACATCTTTAGGCACGAAATAGCGGGTGCATTCTCATAAACTATATGGTACGAATGGAGCAGTGGGGTTCTAACTTCGAACACCGCATTTGATTATCAGAATTCGCAGCGAAGCGTGTCGCATTATGAGGGGAGACGTACAGAGACACTCTGTTTGCTGTTAACCAAAGCTATGGGGAACGTGCGATGCATATTATTTTTTTTTAAAAAGAAAGAAAAGGTTGTTCCTGGTACATCGTGGCCGAGGTGGGGTGCTTTGGAATAAAATTCCAATTAGAATTAATAAATTAAACAGAAAAGAATGAGATCAGGTGTTTGATGACATGATTGAGGTCATTAGCTGCTCCATGATGCGCCCAAGCTGTCATTCTCATATTTTATTAGTAACAACGAGAGCTACTTTTTTCCACCCCAGCTTGCCATTGCCATATAACATATGATGTCTCCAAAACGTTGAAGTTAAACCCCTCTTCCCCAAGTTACCCTTCAATTTTAGCAACGCTTGTAAGCATTACGGAAGTGCAGCCTGTGATGTGATTTCAACGTCGTCGCCAAGACAGTCGTGAACTTCCTCACTGATCTTTATTTTTGTCTTCCACCTGGTTTTTTTGTCAAGTTAACTAAATCACATATACTCTGTCCTACCCCTTGATTCTTGATACGAGATATCTTAAAATTTTAATCAAACATTAGTGACTCATCATTTCACAAAAAAGAAAAAAAAATTTCATCTCCTTCCTCCTTCCCCTCTCCCCTCAATAACCTATACCAATTAGAAGGTAATCCTTGAAAAATTTACAAAAACTTTACAATTTTTTTTTTTAGATTTAACCAATTCTAGCAACTTTTCTTACTTTCATAAAAATATAGTAAATAGAACCCTTTTTTTGGCCAACAGTAAATAGAACCTTATGAACGAGCGGATGGAGTGTTGTATAAGCTCAACCTTTGTTGATGCTTCAAACGTCCTAGTTACTGTCAATAATTTCTTTCTCCACCATGCTTTTCAGTCTGCCGTTTTTAATCTTTTCTAAGAACGAACCATCATAAAGTGACAATATGATTACATAAATTTGGAGGGGGAAAAAAAACAAAGTAATTGTATAACGTAAACATGGCTGGGGATGTTTTAAGTTTTTCTTTTCGTTTCTTTTTTTGGTTTTTTTGTCATTTATTTCGCTCAGAAAAAACTGCACTAGCCATGGGCCAACGGGTTCATTCAGGCCATTTGCTGAGCCCATTGACATTTTGCCGGGCACCCATGCGTATACCCTCGTATACTGGTCTGAGACGCTTCCAGTGGTGAAACGATGGATCACGTCCAGTCGCCTACATCGTCTATTAGCTCTCTCATCCCCTGGAATGCTTCTGATTTCATAATATTAATCACTAAGAAACTTCCATTCTCATTCCCTCTTCCCATATCTATCACTACTATTATGTTCCCCAAGGCAGAGAGAAGACCAATCTCATATTAGGAAGTGGCCAAGGGGCCCTTCTAATAACTACTGCATGGAATTTAGGTTTTCCAAACACCCCCCCGGGGGGGGGGGGGGACCAGCCGGCAAACACGAGAGAGAGATCTAAGACTAAAAGTGCCTTTCGCATGTCCTCCAAATTGTGTGAATCCCATAAAAGAACAAAATAAAAAAAGTGACATCCAAGAGCCAACAGAATAAATAAGGAAACCGATGCACTTTAAAGTACAAGGTAACCGGGGATCAATTTCACATTATTCCTGTTATTAGATCTACTCTGACCACAGCCGTTTTCTAATTACAGATGGAATTGATAGAGAATTCTCTCATCCTCTCTTTGCCATCGATGGCATGCCATGCTCATCCTTGAATATACAGTAGGACCAGTTGGTTCATCTTATGAGACAATCATGTGAAAACTAGGAAACCAACCGGATAAAACGATAATCAACCAAGTAAAAAAAAAAAGGGATTCAATTCCCTTTAGATTGACAGAATATAATCAGTCATTGTTTGTAACTAGCATTGCTAACCTTGCTTGTAAGTAGTGGTCTCTCCCTCAAGGTGGCAGCTAACAAGGTTTCAGAGCTGCTTGGCTGGCTCTCAGCTATCCCTGGTCGCGTCCAGATTTTAATGTGTCCTTCCCGACAGGCAGTGAGTACGGATTCCTGGGTAAATATCAAGCCTGAAAGGGGTTCAGTGTGCGCACGATGAGCAACCAGAGGCGAGATTTTTGGAACGTCACGCATGCTTGGAGCAGGTTGCAGTGTGCCCAATGGGACAACACTGTCCCAGTGAGATGACTGGCTCCCAGCACTGTATGTGGGGGATCCACCAGGTGCACGCCGCAATGGTACCACAATCTCATCCATTTCCAGGTCCCAAAGAAGCAATTGTGTATCCTGGCCAGTAAAGTATCTTAATTCTAGCAATTGAGCAGTATAGGAGTTTCAATAATGCAAAATATGCAAAGAAACAAGTTGGCAATTTCAGAAATATATCAATAAAGTGACAAATGTCGTGATCGCACATATGAAAGGCCATTTTCACCATTCTGACAGCATCACTTGTGTGATACACTTGTCTTTAAAACTTGTTATAGCAAAGCCGTGTGACACATTTTATAAGAAATTCATGATCCGTTATTCTTCATGAAGGCAAATTTCAGCCAGTTCAAAATTTCCTCTCTAGATTGGTGATTATTCAGCAAGTTGATCGTTACCTAAAATCATTTTCATAAATTACACACCATTCTCATCAAACAATCTGCAATACAATTTACATAAAGAAGCTTTTATACCAAGGGGCCCTATCCACCAGGTAACTAGAATTGCCTAACAATCATATCGAATCTGAAAGCTGCTAAAAGCCTTCAACCAGTACTTAATCACCAAGCGAGTACAGTTATGTGAACTTGTCTTCCTCATTCATTTATGTTTCAACATGTACTTTAATTTTCTCCTATAAGTATCGAGACATCGAGAAACAAAAGACATCTAACTATCAGCAAACTTTATCATGAGCAGGCAAAGAGAACTTACGTTCAAAACAAAAAATATATATTATAGAATGAAAAAAATTTCATGTGAAGATCACGTTCTTGGGTTAGGGGGAAAAAGAAAAAAACAAGAAGAAGATCAAGTTCTTGGAACTTAAAACTGCCAAAACTACCGAGGACATGTCTTCTTTTTTCTCTTTTCAAAACGCTATAGTACCTGACCAACAGATCCAAACCGATACATAACAGTTTCAGTATTATCATTTGAATTTGGTGGTGTCCAATATGAATCGAAAGCCACTCCGCTGACCTGTAACAGCATGTGGAACATCTTAATTCAGTGCTATGACTACAAATATATAATGCTTGCTGCAAATTAAAAAGATACTTACCCATGAGTTGTGTCCTTCACCCCATGCCACAACCTTCCGGTCCTCCATGCTCCAAACTTGCACAAGATCATCTTCTCCTCCAGTCAAAATATATTTTGCATCCATGCTGTTAAGCAGTTTTTGATTATAGTTTTACAATCTCATTGTGCTAAATAAGATCTAATAAATTCTTGTGCAATACATAAACGAAAGATGGAAATGAATCCAAAAATGGCCGTCCACTCTTACAAAATTGACTTGGACCAAACATGTCTCACCTCCAAGCACAACATAACAAAGCACCATAATAACTTTTACCACCACATATAAGTTGTTCCTTAGAGAAATCAAACACTCGCAAATAGCCTGAATGAAGTAAGTCAGATAAGATCAATAAGGTGTTTTTGCAAGAAAACCTAGAAAAGCAGCAGAACCACCAAATACTGATGGTGTTTAAATGAATAAATTTAATCATATACCATCTCTCCAACAGTTGCTAAGTATGCCCCATCATTTGAGAAAGAAATACTGTTAATTGAACCCTGGCATATATGCCATCTGGCTACTGGATTACTCTGCATAGAATATGTTTGGGGGAAAAATTGGGGTTAACAAACAAGGGGTGAGGATTAAATGAAGCTGATTCATTCTTATGCTGCAAGTAAAATTCATGGGAATTGGGAGTTTAGTCCTGAAAGTCATGCCACAAATAAGGCTGAAGATCACTACATAAAAAACCCCCATAACATCTGAAGGACATATTGATATATAAAGATTTCCAAAAATACTTCCAACGTGTCAATAAAGATGGCTTGCATGTTCCACAGTACAGATTATGTGAAGAAATGTCATTCTAAAACAGCACAGGACTTAAGTTGTAAACCACTTAGATAGTGAAGATCGAGGATAAATAAACAAATGATCTTACATTGACTGCCCCATGAAATCATTCAAACCACCTAACGTTACAAGGAAAATGAAAAAATTATAGACAACTGCAAAATATAGAATCCATCACAAATAAAGTATGCTTATAAAACCTGAAAGTTTACAATACTAAAGTTGGAGTTGTCTGTTCCACTTTTTCCTTGTTTGAACTATAACTCATGTCAATAGGTAAAATATATGGTTCTGATAAAACATGTGTCAATGGATAATCATTACAGAACAGAAATAGATTTTGATAAATATAATAATTTTACAAATGTTAAACTTTTTAGAAATGCAGTTACCCTACCCACACTTTGCTTAGAAACTAATTAGACATCAAACTCAATACCTTACTGTAACGTGCATGAGAAACAGAAAATTGAGCTTGATCTTTAATAACTGGGAATGAAGAATCTCCAGCACCATCTTTGTTCTGAAATGGGAGGAAAGCTAGCATATGACCAAGTTACAGGAAAAATCCTCATTATATAAGAACCTTGAAATAAGCATCTCTCTATATAAATGAGGCTTGCCTTTTCATATACAAACAAATTCCCATCGGCATGAGCAACAACAAAAGCACCATCACCTCCAGGAATCCATGCAATACTAGTACAACGACTGTCCAAAGTAACAGATATCAATCAAGTTAGATTCCAGACAGCACCTAAAAACAATATTCTACTATGTATGAAAGTTCTTTAAAGTAGCTCAAGACTAAATAAAATCTTGATAAAGCTAATAATTTAGGGAAGTGGCTTCTAACTTGCCAAAAATTAAGTGCACACATGCATGTGTGTGTGTCTGCATGTGAAAAATAAACCAATTGTACACAAACAAACAACATTTCAGCACTGACTAAACTTTATTCAAGAAGTGAAGCATGCACATAATGCAATGCAGGAGGTAGAAATTAGTACCACAGGACAAGACCAGCAGACAAACACTATAAGAAGTAAATACAATAAAATTTATCCTTAGGCTCTTCATTTTAATGGGGATCAAAACTCCTTGAAAGTAGATTTGAAATTCCCTGTGTAACACAACTAACTCAGGACCTTAATGGAATTTCGGGTTAAGAACCCAATTTGAGTATTTTGGATCAGTAATGAGCAAGTGCACTGGAGTTTTTCCTTTAATTTACTGATAACTTTCGCAGCAGGTAATACCAAGAAACAAAGCTTTCCTATAAAAGTCACAAGCTCAAGGGGCGGAGGCAGGAAACATTAGAACTTGATGAAAGAAAATATCATCCCTCGCTGTAAGACTTGACACAGCTCCCGCTCTCTTAGATGTCAGAAGTGTGGTGGGTGCCAAATCAAGGCCGGCCTGACTCAAAGATTTTATGGCATATGGTCCCTAGACTACAACACCATTGGACCACGTCAATTACCATGGACTGAACTACAAAACATAAAATGAGATCTTATACTAACCAAACCAATAAAGACAGCTCAAAAGCATGAAACTCAACACCCCCATATATACAAGCTCTATGAACAACTTCACATATGATGGCCAATGCCAATCTAATACCAAAACACCAATATTTATGCTCATTCAGGGGCCAGCAAGACAACCATCTATACAATCACTAACTAATACAGAAAGAAACCTATATAAAGAAACCTTCTCAACCACATAAAGTTGCCAAGACCTGGGAATGCAACGAAATACACCCAAGGCCATGAAACCAGACGGCCACTTATGTCAACGCCAAGAATGAATCAACTCTTGCCTGTTATTGACAGAACCATCTTTGTTGTAATGATGAGCTCCTATAAGCTTTTTACCCACATCCTGTAATTGCTGTCTCAGTGACACAGAGTAGACTACAATAATAAACACAGGAGAAATAAATTCATAAAGCATAAATATACATTAAAAAAGAAAGAAGGAAGGTTTGCAATTTATCGAACTATTTACCATCACCCGTACTCAAACCGATAATCAAATCATGGCCATCCTTTGCTTCCTGATCAAAGGCGTGGCACACAGGATTTGAATTACTGAAGTGAATGGACTTTATGGGATCCTACATCCAAACAAGAAACGCCTAATATACCAAATCCAAAATCCCCTCTCACCCCTTGAAAAAGTAAGAATAACAATAATTCAAAGTCCATCATCTGTATACCTTGTCTTGAGAATTCAAATCACTAACAAAAATTGCATCACCAACATTGAAGATCAAGTACGTTCCTTTGCCATCAAAATTTGAATTAGCCAATAAACTACTTGAACTTGAGGCACCAAGAGAACCAATCCTACTGTTCACTCCAATACTCTTGCTGCTACCATTTCCACCAACAAAACTAAGTGCGCGGCTTCCATTGCCACCTCCCAACAATCTAGCAGCTGCTGACCGTACCCCACTGCTGGCACTAAAACTTGATGGTGGGGCAGTTGGCGTTGAAGGAGCTGGCTTCTCCTTGAGATGTGCAAGAGTTACCTAATAAATTAATCAAACAGCAATATGCTGCTAAGATAAAAGACATATTGCAACAGTGAAGGGAGAAACACATGCTTGAAAATGAAAACCACTCTCTTAGGAGATTGGTCTTTCAGGATGAACACCGAAACAAAACAAAACAGAATAGCTCGACGATATTAAGAACAATAGGTGAACTGAGAATAACATGAACACTTTACTCGTTGATTCTCCGAGTCAATGAATTAAGTAAGGACTTATATAACCCAAAGTAACGTTTCATAGAATGATACAAGTTGTCTTTGTTTTATTTTTTCCAAAAAAAAAAAAATACACTGGGTGTCAGAAACTCAAATGAACCAAATTTAGTAAAAAAAGTATCTAACCCTAGGAACAAAAACAAGAATCCTCATCGATTCAACTAAATGGTCGTTATGGAAACATCCATCCTTTTTATATAAAACAAATACACAAATATAAAGGAAAGGAAAATTGAGATGACCTGAGTGACTGTTTTCCCGTGGGCATAGTGAAGGAGGGCGGAAGGATGCGTCTTCTCGTACTGAAGCTTGTAGCGACCTTCAGGAGTCTTAAAATAAGTCTTGAGACCAGGGGATTGGGCGGTAGCGGACGAAGACGGGGATATCATGCCGTTGGGTGCGTTGATCATGGTGGCGATTAAGATGCGGACAATAACATAGGATCATGACACTAGGGCTCGAAACCTTGAATTTATTTGAATTGAATTGAGTGCTTCTCCCTGCTCTGCCGGTAGTCTTCTCCTCCGCAGCTCTTTTCCCCGTTTTTCACTGTTCGTATGCTATGTCTTCCTAGTTCCAATGGCTTCCGGATCAAAAACGGGTTCACATCATTAGATTTTAGTTTGCTGTGGTTTTGCGGCTTATTAAAACGCTGCGAACTGCAAATTGAAATTGAAATTGAAATTTTCTGATACAAAACAAAAGGGTCCACAATTTCACACACACACACACACACAGGGGGTACCCTCCAGTCAACTTATGGGATGCCCCTCCCCAAAGGTGGCCCAAAAATATACCTTGGAGTGCAAGACGCCATTTCATATGGTAAGCCTGTTCCTCTTACGGCCCTCAATGGTTCTGCATATTGGGCCCAAATAATGGACTAATTCTAAAATCGACGAACTTCGGGTTGCACCGCTGCAGATGCATAGAAACAACTCAAACAAGTAAAAATAAATAAATAATATAAAAAAATTTATATAATCCCATTTTTCTCTTTAAAAAACTCATATCCTCTATCCGTATAAGAATAATGATGATAGAAAGAAACTAATCAGGGTCAAGTAAACAAACAAACAAATAAAAAACTGTTAACGTGTTTGAGCATTGGAACTCTGATCTTCTGGCCATAACAATTATTCTATGTGGGCGATAATTGGTGGGCAGACGATAAAGCAAACAGAAAAAAATGACGCAAAATGTCGTAAATGGTTCGAGCTCAGCTATCCCCCCAACGTCTACCTTCAAATCGGAAACCTTGTACCCTCTCTTCTTCCTTAATCTTCAACCTTACTAGTCCAGCTTTGATCTTGTGAAGACTCCCTGTTGTTTTAAATGCCTCCTCAAGAGTACAACACTCCTGATTCTGAGCTCTGTGAAGCACAGGAATTTCATTTCGTTTTAATCTTGCACAGGAGCATTCTCTGTACCTAAAAGTAGCATTTTATTTAACAGTTTAGACAAGTCTAACTTCAAATCTGAAACCCTCTTCCAAACCGGTGCGCGCGCGCGCATTTATAATAGCGAAGCGAAGTTGCTGGGCTGTATACGTCAAATGCATAATTTTGCCGATCTTCTCGTTGAGCAAACTTGCATTTCTCATCCATGAGAGCTGTGAACACATCTTTAGGCCAAGGAAAAAAAAAAAAATACTTTGAAGCGTCGAATCTCATTGATTATGCGGACTAACACTGAATGAAGAATTATTCGAAGTTCTGCAGTTAAATTGAGCTCTAACAAACCCAAGCAAATCAATTTGGGTAGTTCATGATCATGAGTAATAAAGCAGAGAAGATAAGGGTGTCCCGAAAATCAAGATGCAAAGGCCAACATCGGTCCCGCCACGAGAACCTTGAAACTAAAGCAAGCATGAACATTTAGATCAGTAGTTTGGTTTGTCCAAGCAATACCCAAAAACAACACTCATTGACATTTCAGCCCCACATCATCAATCAGCCAATCTTACCTGTTTTTCCTGCTTCTCGAAGCAATTCTCCCTCTAATATATCAGATTCACAGGGGAAATTTTTAATACACTGACGTCCTCTTGCCACCTTCCATTGCAACCTTTCACCAAACTTTTACCAATCACATTCCACTCACTCCCTTCATTATATATCTCCAGCACCTTCTTCCTCTCCACTTACTACAACTTAGTGCTCTTTGCTCCTCAGAAAGCCTGCGTCAATGGCAAATTTACGTTTCTCCTCTGTTCTGATCCCTTTTGTTCTTATTCTTCCATAAAATTTCTGCTCAGACAGCACCAACAGCACCAGCAGGCCCCACCAACATAACCCAAGTCCTGGAGAAGGCAGGCCAGTTCACTACCTTCATCAAGCTTCTCAAAGCTACTCAGGTGGCGGACAGAATCAATTCTCAGCTCAACAACTCAAACCAAGGCCTCACGATCTTCGCACCCACTGACAATGCCTTTGCCACCCTAAAATCAGGCGCTCTCAACTCAATCAATTCCCAGGAACAGCTCCAGCTCGTGCAGTTCCATATCCTCCCCAGTCTCTACACTATGTCCCAATTTCAGACTGCCAGCAACCCCTTGCAGACGCAAGCCGGAAATGGAGGCGACGGCCAATTCCCCCTCAACGTCACAACCTCCGGAAACCAAGTGAACGTAACCACCGGAGTGTCGTCGACGCAGCCGTCGCTAATACTTTACAGTGACAACCAGCTCGCTGTGTATCAGGTAGATCAGGTGCTTCTTCCTTTGGCGCTTTTTGGCGCGCCCCCCACGGCAGCACCGGCACCGGCGCCAAGTAGGCCCGAGAAAAATGTCCGACCTTCCGATTCTCCTTCTTCAACTACACCGGTTGATACTTCAAGTGTGCTGGGTCTCAATGTCCTGAGAGGGAAAGGGGTTATCCTCAGTATTGCAGTATTGTTATTGCTTGCTGCAAAGCTGTAAAATGTTCTGAATGTAACTGAGAATTGTTTGTCACTGAAATATACTCCTGAGCGGAGAAGGCTTGCGTGCGCGCGTGCTAGTTTCTTGTTTCTTAAAGACTACATAACGAACACAAAAGCGACCCTCTAACTCAAACTTGCAGGCGTTAAATCTCCGTCATGTAGTTGTGTGAAAAGAGAATATGAAGATTTTCAGGTAGGCCCATGTGGCCCAACAAAACTAACAGTGGGTGGTGGGGATTCATTCGTCACAAAGCAAAAGTATTGGGGATCACATATTAATGGAGGTAGCTTTTGGTCCAAGAGAAGCTGGGACTTGCCCAAAGTGAGACTCTGATCACTACTATCATAAACCATGGAAGCTTTATGAGAAGATAAAACCCCAGCTTTTAAATTTTTGTTTACCAAAAAGGGCCGGCTTTTGAGCACAGCAGTGGTGTGGATGCGAGCTTAAAAGTCAGTGGCAGGAATCATCAGCCTTCAAACAAACGTGCATAACTGAAGAATTTCTCAGGCAGGGCCCAAGTACGAAGCTCAACAGTTTGTGCGTGTGATTTGTGAGCCAATGATATTAACAGATAATTTATTCAATAATAGCATCTATATTAAGCCTGCATTGAGGGGAAAAAAAGAAGGCAACATGAACAATTTAATAAATTAAATAAATAATAGTAGACTACAAATTTCACATAAAAAATAAAGCTTTATTTCTCAAGAATAATTTAATAGTTAAAAAGTAGAGAAGTGAAAGGGAATAATTGAACTGTGGATGAAGGGGAGGGGGACCTGTGTTTCCATGCTCACTATTTGGTAAATGCCGCCACTGATTTCCCAGTAGCCCATGTCTGCTGTAATATGATACTTGACACTTGACAGGGTTCCCATGTTTGGTTTGTGTGGGGATTGATTTACAAGCTTCGCATAAACATGACGGATTATTTTGGAAAAGTTGACAAATACTGGGGAATATTTTTCAAATTTTTTAATACTAAAGTATTTTTAGTTTTGTAATCTTAAAACTGTTAATAAAATATCATAATATTAAGATCTTAAGTGTAAATAAAATGTTTTTAAATTTTAATGACATAAATGATAATTTTATTTTTTTCAAAAAAAATCAAATTCATTCAGTGAAGGAAGGACTTGATTTCCCTCCGGGGGGGAGGCTAAAGAAAAGAGAAAGGAAGGACGGCGAGAACTTGAATCTAAGTAAAGTCTTTTCGTGTCACCGGCTGCTTGCGTCTCGCGTGGCCTGCTGGCGTGGAGAAATGGTCTCAGCCGCACGGTCGCGTGTTCGAGACGCAGCACGAGAGAGAGCCTGAGAGAATCACAAGAGGAAAAGATAAATGAGGTATTTCAAAATACCTCCCTTTTCCAAAGCATCTTCACCCGACTTGTGTCATTTATAGGCTACCAAGTGATTCCAACACTCATCAGATCTAGTCTTGTGTAGGCGAAACTTGACAGGGTTCCCATGTTTGGTTTGTGTGGGGATTGATTTACAAGCTTCGCATAAACATGACGGATTATTTTGGAAAAGTTGACAAATACTGGGAAATATTTTTCAAATTTTTTAATACTAAAGTATATTTTTAGTTTTGTAATCTTAAAACTGTTAATAAAATATCATAATATTAAGATCTTAAGTGTAAATAAAATGTTTTTAAATTTTAATGACATAAATGATAATTTTATTTTTTTCAAAAAAAATCAAATTCATTCAGTGAAGGAAGGACTTGATTTCCCTCCGGGGGGGAGGCTAAAGAAAAGAGAAAGGAAGGACGGCGAGAACTTGAATCTAAGTAAAGTCTTTTCGTGTCGCCGGCTGCTTGCGTCTCGCGTGGCCTGCTGGCGTGGAGAAATGGTCTCAGCCGCACGGTCGCGTGTTCGAGACGCAGCACGAGAGAGAGCCTGAGAGAATCACAAGAGGAAAAGATAAATGAGGTATTTCAAAATACCTCCCTTTTCCAAAGCATCTTCACCCGACTTGTGTCATTTATAGGCTACCAAGTGATTCCAACACTCATCAGATCTAGTCTTGTGTAGGCGAAATCTTCGTTGAAGATCATATAAAAATTAATAATAGAATGAGAACGTTAGTAGTGTTTTTTTTTTTTTTTCCCTAAGGGGACGGGAGTTCATTGAACCAAAAACACCTTTAAGTAGTCTGGGCAGTAACTACTACATTCAGTCTTTGTTATAAAAAAATTTTTGACTTTTATTTTTGTTTTAAATATAAGATTTCAGTTCATTTTGTTCCTAATATTTACCTATTTTTTTAAACAGTTCTTCTAATAATAATGGTTCTGGTCAATAAAATAGATTAGCAAGGATATTTTAAGAAAAACAACACTTATTTATTACAACTAATTAACTTAACTTATTTTCTTAACCTATTTAAATTAATCAACTAGCTCTTGTATTTATAACCGGAGGTAGTATCAGAATTCAAGTAGTATATATTTTCATTTTACATTAATTCTGTTAGATGATGGCTTCCAATTGTCATTCTCTGCTTATTAAAACACACAAATGCTAAACTAACATATGATTAGCTACCTCAACAAAATCTGATGGACAGAATAATACAGCGGAGGTGGTTTAAGCGCAAGAATCAAATAAAAAAGTCGGTCTATAAATTAATTACAAGGTGCTGTATTAAAATAATCGTACGTAAAAAACTGAATAGCATCAGGGAAGGGAAAAGTTCCAATCAAAAATCGGTAAGAGTAATATAAATTAAAGTACGGGCACTCAGTGTATAAATTTGTAAAGTACCAGTATTTTTATGTATAAAAAATTTTCAGGTCCTTAGCAATAAAATTTTTTTCGTAAAACTGCATGAAACAATTGATAATTTTTCGTAGGTACTTAGGAACACATAGCAAGTGTTGCTTCTATCTTTTCCGAGAGAAGTATCAATTGAATTATAAAAAATTGATGCATCAATAAGTTATGTGTTTAATAAATCCTAGCATGCCATGAAAGTACTTCAGAATATTTTCCTGAAGAGATAAGCTTCCCTGTTACTTGAATCCCGCTAAAACCATGATAAAATTATATTTGACCTGTTGAAAAGTGAGTTTTTTCTGCAAACGAATCTTAATAGTAGCAATAGACACACATAAAGAAAAAGAGAGGTTGATTTAAAAAAGAAACTGATGCGTAGTTACCGAAGTCAAGGCAAAAAGGAGTGAATTATTGTTTGGTAACGAAGTGGCAAGCTAGTTCCCCCTTTTTTATTTCCCGGCATTTGGCAGACCAAAGGCGGTGGCCACTTGGAGCTTTGAAAGTTGGAAAGAATTGCTAGGCCCGTGTGAGGTCTCAAAAAGCTGGTGGCGACGACAAGTACCAATAAAAAGTAGGGCTGTCTTGAGCTTATTTAATCCGTGTCTTCCTGTATTGTTTGAGACTTCTGACTCTCTCATTTTTCAAACACTACGTACACGCCTTGGGAACACACTCACCCCTTCATTCTTTACATGCTTTATCTCTGTTATTACCATCTTTTTAATTACTAACATTGTAGTAGTAAAGTAGTGGAGATTTAGTCAACAGTGCAGTTTTGGAGAGACCACCACCTCGCCACCCTCGCACCACATTTAGGTTAGAAGATTTAATTACTTCTTCTGCCTCTTGGCTTGGTGCGCTAATATTTAACCATATTTGACTTCAGTAGGAAATCACATGATGGCGGCGCTAGCCTGCATTTTTGTGCGTATGGCATTCTGCATTATAAATGACAGAGAAATTAACTAAATGTGATCATGTATAGTGTCATCGGTACGTGCGTACGTGTATATGTATAAACAACATATGTATCAAACAGTCATCTTCACGAGTATTTCTTTTTGTTCGCGTTCTGTGCGCTGTCACGTACTAAAGAGTGAGAAATGACAATGCTTCCCTTGAGCCCTGGTGAAACTAATAAATCGTCTCATGGTTGTATTCTCATCCAAAATAGACCAAGGGGTGGTACACTGATACTGATAAAATGAGATGACGGGCCTATCCGGCCAGGCAGTCACGTGGTGGTGTAGGAACCAGGATCTAAGAACTAGGAAGTCACGTTCACTTTTTTGAAGTATTACGTTTGTCAAGGACTGTGTCGGGCATGCAGCCAATGCAACGTAGGGCGCCTAGTAATTATTACTCGTGGTTTTACTTACACAGGATTTAACATTCATTCAGACCGCTTTATTCAAAATGACATCGTTTTCGGATCATCTAAAATCGAAGCTGTCAAAGGTTTACTTTACAGTTACTATGCAGAGAAGCAACCATGAATTGTCATGCCACACTGGACCACGGCCTCTGCCCTCTGAACTTTTTGACCACATCCACAACTTTTCCCTTAAATCTCAATACTCAAATCGGTAATCAAAGTCATATACGTGTGTGTGTGGGTATACATATCAGTTGACAAATCCAACGGCTTCACTAAAACCTTCACCATTTCTGAAGAGACGTCATGAAGCCCAGACTAGCTAGCCAGAGAGCAAGACTCCGCAATACTTTCCGAGATTCAGGGTTCTGCCAAAAAGCCCATCTATATATAGCACCTAGATTCTGCCTACACCACACAACGCTGAACTCGATCTCCAGGGAGCAAGAGACGTAAGGAGCTTCGTCTTCTAAACTAAACCTCCCCCAGTTATTATTATAACATATAGAAACATAAATATATATGTAGCTTCCTATTGCGATGTGGCGTCTAGCTGCTACATCAAGATCCGGACTAGACAATTACTCTCGATTTTTATTTCCCACCATGGTTGACGAGGTGCCAGAATTCGACGGATCGTAGTAAGTAGAAATAATATTACAATGTACGTGAAACCTACTTTTTTTTTTTTTTTTGCGTTTCCCAGTCTCCCCTTTTTTTAGAGTCATGACGGCAGCTCAGTTGCGTTAGTGTAGTCATATACAAGCGGTGATGAATGCAAATTTTATTTCATTCTTCCTTGGATTTCTGACCAGGAAGAGAAAACAAAAACGATAACAGTAGTTGCTGAGACAGAAGGAAAACAACTAGGAGAACATGCATGACTCGGAGTCCGCACCTCTTGACGTGCAGTGGGGCCCCGCTGCATTCTGGCTTCTGGCAATTCGCAAACTCCATCTTTCACCCACCTCCATCACATTAACTCGCTCTAACTCGACACCTTCCTTCGGGTTGATTCATATTGCGTAAGCTCATATATCATGATACATGAGCACTGCCTGAAAATCCGATCTTAATTTACTGAGTAGTACTACTCGTGAACTGAGACATTCCCATGGATGAGGCAATGGAAGCAAATTTAGCGAGCTCTTCGGGAAGGAAAGGAGTACCAGCTCCTCCTGCTCCGCTCATTCCCAGAAAATCTCTGGTGTAACCATGTTCCCCAGTGTTTGAATCAGGATGCAGCTTCAATTGCACTTGTTTGTTACTTTGTCTTCCACGGGATTGCGACACAAGCTCATCAAGGCCACTGTTCGATGAATGCGTCAATGAGCTGAAGTTATTGCTCATCCCCAACGTACCTACACCACTGCTACTTGAACTAAAATTCTCTGATTGCTTCATACTCTGATACATTTGGTTCAGCTCGTTGTTACGGTTTTGGTCTGCGTTATTTTCGAGACTTGCCGTAGTTTGGGAAGAAGACGAGCTCATTACCCCAAAACTGCCGCTAAATATGGAAGGGTTGCTGCTTCTGGTTGAGCCTATCTGAGCTGCTTTCTGTAGAAGTGCAGTGGCTGACATGGGAGAAGCTGGCTTTGATTGATTGTTTCGAGCGTCAGAATTATAAATAGATACTAAGTTTCCAGTTCCGCTACTTTCTCCTTTTTTCCCAATAGGGAGTGTCGATGGGGAATAATTACACAAAGAAGAAGGAGCAAAGGTGTTATTAGGTTGAGGCATTTGCATATTGATCTCGGGCAAACCTGAAGAACTTGAAGATGACACATAAAGACCAGAATTAGGTCCCACTTCTAGAGGATTATTGATGCGGGGATTTCCCAGCTGGTTCAACCACAACGACAAACTGGGCCTCATTTGCTGGTCGGCTCCACCCATAGTCATGCCCATTCCTTCAAATTCTGAACGAAACCCATTTGCACCGAATTGCGAAACGCAAAATCCGTGTGCCGAGCTAAGCTGAGAAGTAGAGTTCATTACACTCTCTTCGTTCTTAAAATTTAAATCTGACGTTCCAACTGAGGTAAGTCTCGCACTCTCTTCTGTCAAGGCATCGCAGAAGGCTCTGTGGGTGATGAAACTGTCTTTCCTGTTTTAAGAAATGAACGAACCCCCCATTAATTACCTAATCATTTACACTAATAAAAGAAGCAATAAATTCCCCACAAGCATTTATTATTCGCAAAATGAGGTGAGATTGGAAATTTAGTGTACCTAGAGAAGAGGGTACCACAATCGCACTTATATTCTCTAGTACCGCAAGTTTTGGTGTGAGCTTTCCAATCGGACTGGACAGCGTATTTCTTCGAACACTTGTCGCACTTCCACTTCTTCTCCCCGTGTTTTCTGCTGTAATGCTTCTTTATCCCGGTGAGGTCCCCCAATGCTCTGGAGGGGTCGTGGTGTACGCATGTCTTCTCTGGGCATATGTACACCTTCTTCCGGACCTCCTTGTTCGACCTTTGTCGCAGCTTCCATGGGAGGTTGTGTCCCCTTCGGTGAAGCTGCAGGTTTTGGTCTCTCTGGAAACCTTTGTTGCATATTTCACAGATGAATCGATTGGTAGCCATGAGAGACTTGGGCGAAAGGGCGATGACCTCCGCATCTGGATCTGTCACGTGACAATACAAAAACAACCTTTGCAAAAAGATCAAGAGAGAAAATCAGCAAAGAAGTAATTGACTACGAACCTGGTGTTCCTGGAAGATTCCTCTTCTTCTTAGGGAGGGGAGGAGGATTAAGTTTAGGGTTAGGGTTTGGGTTTGGGTTTGGCTCAGGAGCAAACCCTCCGATGGAAGAGGATAAGGAAAAGGGGTCGCCAGATAGCATTTGCATATTGGAAAATAAAGGGTAGACTATATTGGAAGGGTTGGGGAAGCAGAAGCGAACCGCAAACTTTCAACGGTATCAGACAGTACAAGCAAGAAAACAAAGGGCTTACCAGAAGCAAAAGCCAAATCAATATAAATTCTTTTGGATGCTACCCAAAACTACACTACGAGACCTGGCTGACTTCGATTCTGCCAAACTCAAGAAAAGGCCATGGCCGAAACCGGAGCCTGAACCTAATTATCAAACTACCAAAGTATATAAAAATATAAATATATTGAACCTCGAAAGAAGCTATATAGTAATGCAAAGGAGCTTCGGACTCTAGTCGCAGCTGATCTGGTTTCTGGTTTGTTTGATTTCGTAAGCATCGGCATAAAACCAAAACCACTCAAACAGGATGGCCAGCTATAGATAAAGATAACATTGGAGACACTTTTTTTCCCCCTCCCTGACCACTTCTCGCTCTCTCTCTTTCCCACCTAGCACTAGTATAGCTCTGGCTGATACAAGGGGAGCGACTCGGATCTCAACCTCATCATCTTATTGACTGCCATCCTCAATCACGGTCAGCCATGGATTGTGATGGGCCACCACACGCACAAAGACACACAAATACGGACACAAGTCACACCCACAATATTCGTCGAATTGTGTGTGACCCTGCCTCTTGCCTAGTGAACCAGAATGTTTAGTTGCTAGAGGGGATTGGGTTTTGTGGGCACAGACTCCAAACTGTTTGCTTAAAAAGCCGAAATTTTTATAGAGCCCTAGTCGGCTAGTACATAAAAATAAACCAAGGCTTTACAACAATACAGTATTAGACTTGGGGATAAGTGAAGATTAGATTAGCTATATTTAATTAAGAGCTTTGTAGTGATGCAGGGAAAGAAGATTGGGGGGGCGGGGGAAGCGAAAAGGAAGTTACCTTTCTGAGAGGGGAGAATGATTATGGCATAATTAGAGGGAGGAGGGCTTTTACGAAGCATGAGAGGAGAGGTCAGAGGGTGTGCGTGTGGGGTCGTAGTCCTAGTGGGGTTGAAGGGTCTCTTTTCCCGATGCAAGGGGGGGGGGGAGAGGACCGTGGTCCGTGATACCTCTGTCCCTCTCAGAGTCATCGTGTGGGGCCCAGCCCAGAAGAAAAATTGGACTGTGCTCTTGTGGGGTCCTCTCCCCGCCCTCCATCCTCCCAAAAAGTGCAAGGCCCTTGCAATTACGTCCCAGTTGGGCAATTACCTAGTTACCGCTGCCCTCTTACACCTTCAACCAATGGGACGTCCCTCCCATGTCCCAACCCATTCCCATGTTCTCTTCTCTCTTCCTTCACTCTCGTGTCTCCTTCACGTTCCTGTTACCTCTTCCTAGGTACGCTTTTTATGTGGACGCCTACAAACGAACTTGTTGCGCCACTAGCCTTGACTATTCATCTTTTTTTTTCATCACTTCTTTCTCAATAAAGTTCACGTCATTTCATTTTTCTTTTTTTTTCCCAAAAAATAGTGGGTTGCTATAATTTCAGTGCTTTAAGTTTGTCTTTGTTTTTGTTTTAGTTCCTAAAGTTTTAAATCATAAATTTTAGTCTCTTAAAAACAAAATAATCTAAATTTTTATTAAATTATAGGGATCAATACATACTAGAATTTGAAATTTGAGAGACGAAGATTAAAATGAGAGTAAATTTAAAAGATCAATATTATATTAATCCAAAATAATTAAAAAAAAGATGGCGTCTATCCTTTTCCTTTCTTTCCCACTCTGGAAACAGCTTCCGATTCACGCGGTGTTAGATAAAATTTGTGTATTTTCGGTGATTTTCACGTATATATGTAATGTGGTCTTTGGAGGATGATGTCGGAGGTGGAAGACTCTAGTTTTAAAAAAGAGTAGGACTGAGGACATTCTGTCTGGAAATAGAAAGGTGGAATTTTTTTCGTTGGGAATCTCTCCTAAATTGGTGGAAATAGTTCTTTATACTGTATATACGATTTACTGACGCAGGACACCTGTTTTAGAATCCAGCATTCAACTTTTATTCACAACCTTTTTCTTAAAGGTTAGAATTATTACGTTGCGCGCGCTCTTGCCGCGCACCCATAACTCAATCAATCTGGTGAGCACATTCGTAATATGAGTATGGATCTAGTGGGTCTACAAGGAAGGAAGCGAGATAGTTCTATCGTTCAGCGTTGACAAGGTAAGTAATGGATCTTTTTTATCGAATGACATGGTACAAAGGAAAAGCATCAACAGAAGAAAAATTTATGTGTTCAACAGATGCGAACCGATTATTCTTTTCAGCATAAATTAGTACTCCTCCGGTCCTAAATATAATACTACCTCCGGTCCTTAATATAAGACCCCGTTTGACTTTTAGTTTGGTCCTAATTATAAGACCCCAATTGATTTTGTCTCTCATATTTATGCATTTTTTTCCAAGATAGTCCTTCTAATAATGATAGTTCTAACCAACTCACTTAATTAGCAAGGATATTTTAAAAATGACAACACTTATTTGTTTCAAATAACTAACTTAACTTACTTCCTTAATCTCTTCAAATTAGTCAACTGGGTCTTATAATTAGGACTGGAGGTAGTATCTCTTTTCTAGTATAAATTACACTACAAAAAGAGTCTTATATTTAGAACCGTAGAAGTATATCTTAATTGCCAACGATAGTTATCATGGGAGAATAATTGTACTATTATTTTTTTAAACTAAAAGGTTACCATAATTTTGGGTTTATTACATTTGTTTTTATTTTGATTTTAGTCTTTTAAGTTTTTTTTAATGTTTAAAACACTGATCATTATAATTTAATAAAATATGGACAAAAACATGTGATTTGAAATTTAAGAAACTAAAAACTGTATTAACTCTAAACTAAAACATAAGATTGGATCGCAGCATTAATCAACACTGAAAAAAACAGCTTGCCTCACACAGGCCCGTGATCGAATAGCTCGATCACGGTTGATCTTGAATACCCCCCCCCAAAAAAAAACACACTTTTTGCCGATCGATCTTACTATTTGGATGAACCTAAAACTAATTCTTCATTATTAATAGTGGGTAGCATTTACTTGAAAAGTAAACCGAGGCTAAAATAATCTCACCACTGCTATGGCAAAAAGAATTTATAGATTAATATACATACATATATATGTGCGCGCGCGCGCACGTGATCTATCACCAAGAGGTGATCTCTCCAAAATTCTCGATTGATCAATATGAAGATTGGACTTGTCAAGAGCGCGTAGCTCTTAGTAAAACTGATATGTTGAAGTAATATACACGATTTAGGAGTTATATAGAGTGGCCCTATGTAGCTGGACCATGATCCCACGTGATTGAACATGTTACTTTAGCAATCGAAAGATCAAATATTCTGATTCCTCGTAATAGCTTAATCTGTCAATTCCTAGCTTCTATAAGTGCCTCTCTTTCAAACTACTCTTGCCATGATAGGTAAGAAGCAAGCACTATAAGATTTGCCTTTTTCTCACTACAACTAAGTCTAACCCTAACACATCGCTATACCGATGGTAAAATCCATATCACATACAGAGTATGACCATTGAGCTGTCTCAAACGATGTTCTTAAATCCATTGTTTTGAGGCCTGGCACGCTTCTCAATTTACTTTCCAGTTTCACATACAGGCACAGCTAACTTTTAGGCTTTGGAATGTAAGCTTTTACCGTGCTAATCACGCACCATTATATATCATTTCTTATTTTCCTAACCCTTCTATGAACGATCTAATGAGGAAATAAGTGAGCAAGTGTCGATTTTAGTATCAAATTCTGGCACTGTGATGGAAATACTTTGCAATCCTATAATAACCTTTACCCATATTACTTACACAAAGAGATTGAGATGCATCAGCAGCTTTGAACCTCGATTACGTACTGCTATACTATAGGCAGTCGATCGAATTATCAATGTTAGGTAAACTTTAACAATCAAAGCATTAAATAATTAGAGGGGGGAGTACTGGGGCAACCTTTTTTTGACTATATTGTTTAAGGAATTGAAAGAGCATCATCGAGGTGCAAATGTGTGCATATGATATTACATCTGATATTATAGCAGGAAACAAACGAGAAAAAAACGTAAATTGGAGGAATCTGTCTAATAATTGTGTCAGTAGCGTTATATTATATATTGGACAATTCAACCGCTTTTGGCTTCTTGCGTTCGGGGCATGGCATCCTATGTTATTTTCCCCCATCACATGAACACTTACACGCCCAAAATATCCCATGTGCTTGCTGTATTATTATTATTATTATTAGATCAAAGAACTCTTAGCTTGATTTTGCAGATAAGCACATGAAAAAAGAATAATTAATACCTAACAGAGATCGATATAACTAATAGGATACATGTATATGTGTCCGACCAGATAACGACATCCTCGCATCCATAAATACTGTATAGAGAACCCCACCATACTTGTTTATAGTTCTCTTCAATTTTTGCTTGGTCATCGGTTGGAAAATTTCACGCACATCCGCGCGATTTCATCACCAAACCCCGTACGAGATTTTCAAATATATGTCTGAAGTCCGAACTAAATTATTCATATTGCCCTCTCATTACTACTTTATTCGCTTCTGCTCCTACCTATGCTCGGTTAAATGAAAAAAAAATTTGATTGAGAAATCACGTTCACCTTTTGATAATATTATTCACCATAGTAAATATTGATATCGAAACTATGGGGGGAAAAACTAGAGTAAAATAATACTACCTCCAGACCTAATTATAAGAGTTAGTTGATTAATTTGAGAAGATTAAAGAAAGAAGTTAAGTTAGTTATTTGTAACAAATAGGTATTGTCTTTCCTAAAATATTCTAACTAATCAATTGTATTGACTAGAATTACGATTGTTAAAAGGATTACTTTGAAAAAAAATGCATAAAATATAAGAGATAAAGTGGATTGAGGTCTTATATTTAGAACCAAAATAAAAGTCAAATAAAATCTTATAGTAAGGACCAGAGGTAGTAATTAAGAAGAATTGTCTTCTGCTCCTAATCCCGCAATATTCAAGGTGTGTGTGAGATTTGGTTTTTGCTTTTGCTTAGACAATTTTGAGTGATGCATATACGTATGTGGTTCGCAACTAACGTCGAGAGATACATAAAAACATGTCAGTCCACCGTTTGAGTCTTGAGATCAGTATGAGACATTAATTCCTCAATCAAATTGGGATTAAGTAGTGTGTGTGTGTGAGAGAGAGGGGGGGGGGGAGGGGGGAGTCAAACAAGTTGAACAGAACCCAATCTTGCCGTTCTGAGTTATTCTTCTTTCCCATTTAAATTAATAGAGTTGGCATGAAGCTGCCTGGCTAGTGAATAGTATATTTATCATTTCTCCGATTCCGATGTATATAATATGTCTGATCTGTATGTATTATGCATGTATAGGCGGATACTAAGCAAATCTTATGTTAAAGAATGAATCCTATGCATATTTCAATATTTTAACTTGTCTCATATGGCTTCGTGTCAGAATGCCACATAAGATTCTTACGTTAAATATCAATTCTTACTGATTCCATGAATTCGTATCTTTTTTTTCGTGTGAGTTTTTGTTGGGGAAGACAAAGATATATTCAAGAGAATCTAACTTGCGGTCCAGCATTTCTCGACTTTGAGAAGACGTGTATCGTTTTGATACAAAATTATATTTATTTGGTGAGCTTATATATTAATTAACCTTCGCCTTCTACTATTAGGAAAAAGATATACAACCTCCGGTCTTTAATATAAGATCCTGTTTGACTTTTATTTTGGTCATAAATATAAGATCCCAATCCACTTTGTCTCTCATATTTATATTTTTTTTTAAAGTAACCCTTCTAACAATGATAGTTCTAGTCAATACACTTGACTAGTAAGGATATTTTAAGAAAGACAACACTTATTTAGAACAAATAACTAACTCAACTTACCTTTTTAATCTCCTCAAATTAGTCAACAGGCTCTTGTAATTAAGACCGGAGGTAGTACCTATTACGCAAAAGTTAAGATATAGAGATTGCCTTAATGTGCTATTTTGTATATATGATCCGTTTCAAAATATCCTCAAGTATTTGATGATTATTTTGTATGGATATATTAATCAAGAAATTTTTTATACATTCGGTGAAATTTAAAATTTGCCTTTACGGTTTACAACTCATAAATAAAACATAATTATCATACAATTCATATCTTACATATTGATGTTGAATGATGATTTTCTAAAACAAGAAATGACGATGATATACGGGCAAGTGGGGATGAAGCAAAAGATTATATCTAAGAAATTGGGGGGAAAAAAATTATTACCCTCAGATGGATTAATTTCATAAATAATTAAATTGGCCCACATTTCTCCTCGTTAACATTCTTTGGACTCGGCATGGGCTTCCTGGCCCGTTCTCTCTTGTCTCAGCTTGTGTTTTTGTATCCTCTTATTGTCCCTTTCATCTACCCTCCTTCAACACCACAGAACAAGAAAACATGGTCAGCAATATAATTGTAATTTGTGTATTCCCTATAATATAATAGAAAAAATAAACGCAAAATGACTGAAAGCATATTAATTACAATCATGCATACGGTACTGCAGATTAGAAAGATAAGGTAATTTATAATTTTCACACTCATGTTTTGTTTGTGTCCCATGAAATTTAAGGCCTAGCCTAGATTCAGACGCCATTTATATTTATTATAAACATGACAAGCCTCAATAAAGCCTCGGTTTGTTCATCATATATGCTAAATGTATTGGAATGTTCTTTCGCGCGCATCCTAGTTCACACATGAACTTTTAACCCAAGTGCTCTTTTAATTTGTTAATGTTATTTTCTTATATGTATGCTTCCGTATACAAATCATATGGATTTAGATCAATGGCTCTAATTCGAACTTTATAGATATGCATGATATATTCTCTGAAACGTCCTCTGGTCAAGAACACTTAGTTTCCACCCAAACCATGTAATGCTTCTTCATTGATTGAATTAGAACTACCTCTCTGTTTAAGTAATCACACACCGACAGAAACACAGAGGGGGGGGGGGTTTAAATGATTGTCTCCAAGAAGAAGAAACCAAGAAACAGGATCAAGTTTGGTGTGACTATGTGTCTCTGGAGCTTTCTTTCATGCTGCATGTCTTGGAGTGTAGTGCGATAAGAGTAGTGTGGTAGGAATAGCGCCAAACACAAGCATCTTTGCGACACCCCACTTATCCTTCTTTCTTGTCAATCCCAGATAAGTCCATTATTGACTCCCTCATGCAAACTTGCTGCGGAATCTCCTGGTTGATGTAAAAATGGTAGGTTATATATATCCTCATGCATTATGTTTGCTCAAAAGCAGAACCGTACCTCTCGCCAAACCTTCTCGTATATGCACCATCACATCTCGTTCCATATTTCCATTCCCATTTTAGCAGTTACCTCAACATTTGACGTTGAAACTCATATATAACATGCTCAGATTCATTATATAGTTTCCTGTTCATAATTTTATCGTGTAAGTATCCATGGCCCAACAAGTGAATGCGTTTCGTTTTGTCGCAACTACAACAAGTAAACCCTATCTTCAGTTAATTACTTACAACCCAAACTTATACTGCATTGCTTTATCGTCTGATTTTGTTGCCCCGGCCCACTTCGAATAAAATAATTTTTCATATCAAAATCTAGTTTCCCCGACATTTATACTCGGATCAGCTGGTGTTTCTCCTTAATTTTAGGACAGCTGTAACAATAACAGACTGATCATAAGAACTTGTCATATAAGCAAAAAATTAGATATAATCTGTTTCCCCCAGTGCTTTAGAACCACTAGCATATTATCAAATGAAAACATACAACTGTATCGCTAATAAGAATCTGATTTGCGATTGATAGATAATTTAATTTAATAAAGAAAATCTAGAGAGACTTGTCGTTGAATTTTCACCAAGTCTGTAATCGACCGCCTTTAACGACCACATATACATTGGACTAAATCTTTTGTTTAAGTTTCAAAGTAACCTCGGTGATTGAATGATGTGGCCTTTGAAGAATGTTTGATACAAAACATAAGACAAGTGGCCTGGGTTGCTTTCTCATCGCTATCCCTACCCGTTCGTCATGCAATCTTTTGTACCTGTTATTGTATTACCCGATAATTGTCCCTTTCTGCATGACCAAGCAGCATATATAGATCCCCATGCACAGTGATTTCAAGCTTACAACCATCTTGGTCGATAATATCGATCTGCGAATCGTTGGTAAACTCCCCTAGGTTCCTCCGTTGCCTTTATTTCCAATGGAGAGGGATCCCCATAACTTGGAAATTCAACTCCCTCCTGGTTTTAGATTCCACCCTTCCGACGAGGAGCTCGTTGTTCACTACCTTAGAAACAAAGTGACTTCACGTCCCCTCCCTGCTTCATTCATTGCAGACGTAGATCTCTATAAGTTCAACCCATGGGAGCTTCCAAGTACGTGCTTATTACAACTTGAATCGAGTATTGCTATCTTCTGTTTCGATTGTTTTCTTCATGAATAAGTCACTGAAAAAATTATTGGTTTTTGTTTATGATAGGCAAGGCTCTATTTGGAGAGGATGAGTGGTTTTTCTTTACTCCGAGGGACAGAAAGTATCCGAATGGATTGAGGCCTAATAGAGCAGCCGGGTCAGGTTATTGGAAGGCTACGGGGACTGATAAACCTATTCTTACTTCGTGTGGAATGAAGAGCATTGGAGTGAAGAAAGCCCTTGTGTTCTACAAGGGACGTCCCCCTAAAGGATCTAAAACCGATTGGATCATGCATGAGTATAGGTTGCTTGATTCAATGATCTTCAGTTACAAGCAAAGAGGGTCTATGAGAGTAGGTCAATTATATGATGCTTGTTGTTTACTTCTTTTCCTTTTTCTTTCTTTTTTAATTGATATTGTTTATGGTGGCCGATCCTACTGAGAAATGTGTTTGGAATGTTGATTTAAGAAAATAATATGTGGTTCTGATGTTTTCTCCTGTTTTTTTTTTTTTCCTTTTCTACAGCTGGATGATTGGGTGTTGTGCAGGGTTCGTCGAAAAATCAGCAGCCCAAGAAACACCTGGGAAGAGTCGAATGAACCTAGTTACGAGCCTGCAAGCTATTTTAAGAATTATGAGAGTCCTGATCCTGAGGAAACTGACAAAACCCTTGTGTTCAATGAATTTCCCATGTTGCCATACATTCTAGCATCCGAGACGAATACTCTTCCTTCCACGGGAAATGCATCATCAAGCTTAAGCAATCAGCGTTATGGTAATGCTTTTGTCTATGAAGACACCTCAAACGTAGAAGAACAGTTCTCAGAATCTGCTGTTGAGAGCTTGAAGAGAAAACTCTATGAACAAAACCAAATGGACCTTTATGATTCTCCTCCCTTTAAGAAGCCATTAAGAGAGGAAGATAATGAGAGGGACATGCTAGACATAGACGTAAGCAAAAGCTGCACCAGTGGTTTCAACATCTTTGATCATTGGAATGCCATCATACAGCCTCAAGAGCTTAATAACTTGGCCTTTGCAGGATATATTTGAGAGATTTATACACACTCATGTACGTATATACGTCTACATATGTTTGGGTATGCAAAAGGTGAAGATAAAAGATTGGACAACAGAAGAAGATTCTGGAAAAGCAAGAGGGCGAAGCTTTCCCCCATGTGTGTAGTGTGTGGTTATATTCTTTATAGTTTACAGCTCATTGGGACATGTACATATGTGGAATTGTACGCCATTTGCTTTGCTTCATTGTAATGGATCGATATAATTGCAGTTATTTAAAGAACAATGTTATGGAACGGTGATTGTAATAAACCAACAATTAAACTGTGAACGTGGACTTATAGAAGTTAAAGGGCGAGTTATAATTTCTATGTTGATGATTCTTTTTTTGATAGCTCTAAGTAGATGATTCTGACGAACAGTTATGTGTGAGTTTTGAAAATGAGAATTCTTTTTCATTAAATAAATTATATTTCGATGAGAAGGCATATGATGAATTTGTTTGAGATATATAATAGGACAATGAAGTATCTGAATTTGATATTGGATTTCCCATATATAATTGTAATGTGATGTGACAGCATAAAAATGAAGAAGCTTGGATGGAATATCTAGAGGAATATAAATCTCCAGTCCTAATTATAAAATCTTGTTTATAGTCTACAAACAAGATTTTATGATTAGGACAAGAGGTAATATATTCAACAGAAGTGCAGAATTGGAGAAACGTCTACAAAGGTACATATGGAAATGCAACGAAGGATATTTAATGCGAAAGCATCTCATAAAGGAATATGAAAAATACGTAATAGCCATAGCGGGGTTATGGGGAATGAGTTGAAGGAATATTTATGCTGTGGGCAGGAAATAAGTTCTGCAACTCAACAGTAAGCACCCACCAAACGCCTCCAGTTGATGTGATCTCTTCAAGGGGACAAGGAATCTTTAGAAGAAAGGGGGGGGGGGGGAACTCTTTCGCGCTGGAAAAATAGTTTTTTAAAAGATAATTTTCAAACCAAAAAAAAAAAGCTAAACCACGCAAATAAAATAAAATAAACAATATAAATTTAGCCACTTGATTCAGTTAAACATAAGCTTTTGTGGCTGTGCATACGAGGCTACGGGCTCCGTCTTGCACTTTCTAGCGGACGGGTGACCGAGTGTAACGGAAGAATATTAACTGATAATCTTTACGAGCAGTCGGGTTCCCACCTTTTCCGGCTCTTTTCTTTTGTTAGCAACAGTGAAATACTGATATTTCATATAAAAGTTAAATAATTAATGTGAATATATTGAAAAAAAATTAATTAAATTTATCATTTGTCACAAATACATGTGGGTCTCCCCATATTGTCTAATTCAATTATGTTTATTGAATAATCAAAATTATCCTTTAATTAGAAACCCCTTCCAATCAATAGAAATATTTTGGAGGAAAAAAAAAAGTGAATGTATTATAAATAGGACCAAATGCAACTCCAAATTAGCTCTCATAGTAAAGACAAAAAATAGTATGATAAAAGTCCAATAATAAAGTTCCGAACGAAATTGTTTAACGGAAGCATAAAGATTGAAGACATTGGTTTTAAATATTACAGAGAATAATAAAGAATGCAGGGCACCAAGTGCATTTTTATCTCATGATCAGATTCCGAACCCACCTGCCTTTCTCCCTTCCAAGTGAAATTGAATACTGGTACAAAATTAAAGAATATAATCATGATGCAAAATCCTTTATGTAAACAATGTGTTAGTACTTTGTACAAGTATCCCCCAAGACAAGAATATGGACGTCAAATCTGGGGTGAGATATTGCGAAGCAAGGACACGAAAGAAGCCGTAACTAATCGACAAAGCGGCGGGTCATTCCACCATAGACGGGCTGATCGTAAAGGACAGACGCATATCTGTATATTTCTCGAGTGCCAGCAGAAATACACACGCAAACACACAACACAGAACAGAACTTCACAAACATATTTTCAGGAACATACATGGCATAATGGGCTAGACGTTTGACCGACCACATCCAACAAATACAACATAACCTCGTGTATCAAATCATTTCTTCAGCACACTGCAATTAAACGCACAGATCAGAAAGTATTCCGAAGAAGCAAACACGTGAGAGAATCAAATAGAACACAAGTTATACACAAGGTGCGAAATACAAGATACACAAGATCCAAGTAATGCCGTAAGCAGAGTGATCAACCGGCACATCATGAATATGAAAGATTTTGGTTAGAAATGACATTAATTTTTTTTTTCCCAAAACTTTCACATGTGAAATTAAATTCACACGATAGTTATTTTTATCTAAGGTGAGGAAATGATTCTGGCAATGGTTAGAATTTCCCTTGTGAATATGATTATGATCTCAACCAACATGTTCTACTCAAACCTCCTTTTATTGGTGGTGTATTACAAAATTTCTCAGAAATTAGTTCTGCTGCAAAGGCAGCAAGGCAATATCTGTGGTATGAGATGAACGCCTTGTGAAGAAACATTACACTGGATCTATTGAAGAGCAAAGATGAAGCTCAAGATTCCCCAATTAAGTTCGTAGAATTTCTCTCTTCATGTTTTCAATCATAAAGACATAGGTAAACAAGGGCCAGAACTTTTCCGTTCATGCCAGCATTTATTCACGCATCCAAGTTTCCAATATTAAGGTAAAATTAGTAAGAAGAGGAATATATATTGGGCTCAAAATTTATTAGATAAGAGAAATACCAGTTTTTTGTTTCCAGTAATCATAAAATAGTCAAGAGCCTTACTTGTATAAATAGGCAGCAATTCCCAAAATTATAATCAACAGCACAATGTCAATACAGAAATTTCGGCTGGATCGAAGCTGTGTGAAAACCAAAAACCAAAACCATTGTGAAAATTAACGAGAAATCTATTACTGAAGCTGCCAGAAATAGCTAAAAATCTAAGCTCAAAAGAGGGTCACTGTTAAATAACCTGGTTCACTGTGTCTTTAAGCCTGACATTGGTATTCTTTAGGTCAGATGATGCTTTGTCCACCTGAGAAGATCCCAAATAGTAATCTCGTCAAGTTAGCTTCAACTTAGAAAATTCAATCATGAAATCTTAAAATTCCTCCAGATTTGCAACAGATGAGAATCAATAAACTTACCTTTGTGTCAATCTCATCCATCAATGGAACTTGCCTATCTAGTTCCTGCATTTAGCACACTAAATTAAAAATGAAACATAATATGATGGGGCAACAAAAACACAGTAGGAAAAGTAAACTCAATAAGGCAACTGACCTCATTCATATCGTGTGCCATGTTTTTCAATGTATCCAAGCCTTCTGCAATCATATCTAAACCTTGATCCTATAGATGCTTTGATATTATCAGATATGCATACAAGCAATCTCTGATTAACACACAACATATGCATCACGCAAAAATCAACAACAAAATCCCCCCTCCCCAAAAAACAAAAAAGCGCAAATATGACTTGCCTGCTTCATTTTACGCATTTCAAACTCTTGCCGAAATTTGCTTGATTCCTCAGTTTGTTGGAAGTATTCATCGTCAAATTGACCATCTGTAAGACATGAATCACATGACTGAACTACAGCGATGATTTAGAACTCCCAAACATAAACTAACAGCACATGATATATACATATATATATATATATATAAATATATGCATATATATAACTTCAATTACCTGAATCAAACCTAATTTCACTGCGTGAAGCAGAAGCAGCCCAGCCTCCTGTTTTTTTGGGTGCAGCAGGGGTCCCATCTGGGATAGCTTGGATCCTCTCTGGCAGTGCAAGAACCAAATCATTACGAGCAGCAAATTCTTCCGAGGAAAGCCCTTTTACCTGTGGATAAATTATATTTTAATATTTTATCATGAATATGGCACGGATTAGAATGAATGATTTTAAAGCTTTGCACACTAGCAAGTCAGGTTAAAAAGTACATGATTAAGCTATTGAGAAGACATACCCAGCAAAGATCCAAAAAATGTACTTTTATGTAGTCTTCTCTATTCTCGTTGTCAAATTTTATTCCCACAATTTCAGTTAGATTACATAAATTTACATTCTCACACGGCAGAAACTCAGGAGTAATAATACGTAAGAAGAACCATTTTAATTGATGGAACCTAGATCTGACAGAGAAAGCAAAAACCAACCTTCTTTACAGCCAATCGTTGCAACTTGGGGACCTCCTCCAGCAACCGAGCCTTAGTACGACGAATCTCAGCATTGATGGCTACAACAGATGCCCTGCTTTTCTCCTTGGAAGCAGTTTCTGCTTTCTACAAAGAATTGAGTACCACATGATATTAGATTTTGGGGGGGGGGGGGGGACAGTTTTTTAGAGAAAAATTCATCAATTAGAGCAAGAGTTGCCCTGAAAGTCTCCACCAATGTACATTACTGCATTTATCGTTTTGCCCACCAAACTCACTGAAAATTTAAAACAAAAGAAATACCCCACAACACTAACCTGTCATTGATTTTCTGAAGCGATGAATAAAGAATGAAGAAAAATGACGATCTGATCATGAGAAAAGGAAATAAAAATGAGAATCCGACCTCAAGAGCTGCCTCGATGTCGGCTTCAACTACAGCGTAGAGTCGAGCAAAGGCATCGTCGCCGGAGATATTGGAATCCTTGTGCTTGTCGACGTCGTATTTGTCGTACTTCTTGCAGATCGAATCAACTCTGGTTAGAATGTCGATAACGCTCATTTTGTTACTCAGAATCAAAATCCAATCTGCTCAAGTAGTAACCGGTAGAAGAGTAGTTGAAGGAGAGTTCTTCTGAGGAAAAAAAATCAAAAAAAGGTTGAAGAAGAGTTGAATCTCTTTGTTAACGGCGCTCCAGTTCATTGGATCTTGCCAGCAACTAACAGCCTGTGGCAACGAACAGCATTAATTTAATTATTTATAATAAAAAATATTATTTTTGAAAAATATTTTAATTAATCATACGTGTTTAAATAAGTCCTTGCCGCCGATAAGCTATTTTGGCTCCCTCAGGAAGCATGATTCCCCATCTCAGCAATTTTAGATGATGGAATCCACCCACCTCCGGGTTTTGCAGGGAAATGGAAATCACTAACAAATATATATAGTTACTAATGTACTCCGCCTTTACTTTTTATAAAAAGTAATTACCATTTTTATGTTATAAGATGTCTCAAATTTTTTTAAAACTATTTTTTTATTCCTATCAATTACTTATTATATTTACTATCTCATTTGCTGAAACATTATTCATCCATCTCTCCATTATACTTTTTTTTTTCTTTTATATTTTTTTATTTTAATAATTTTTATTCTTTTTCTTATATTCTGTTTCCTTTAAAGGATATGTTTGAAGAAAAAAACTTTTATATATTTATTTTCTTTGACTAATTTTTTTATTCACCTAATTTGGTCACGTTTTCAATTTTCTTTTTGGCCAGCCAGTTGTCTTCGGGTAAAACGATACATTGTTAATTGGTAATTTTATATGCAATATTTTTATTTACGGCTTTGGCACATCAAAACTTAAAACATGAGCGATGCCTCACGCTTAATGATCAAAATAAATTGTAAATCACTCCAAGTTAAAATTTTATACTCTGAGGAAAAGACGGTGATGGGCCGTATAATTCATGGATTTTAATTTGTGCGCGCGCCGAACTGTCTGTTTGTGATGTTTAAAATTCTATGTAAGCATTCATTCTATGCCACACTGCACTGTAAACAAAATTGACAAGGACAACTTAATTACAGCTATAATTACTAGTCATGTTTATTTTAATTACATGCAAATGATATTATTTTACGAGAATCAATATCAATATGTGCATCTGGTTATGATTATCACAACTATAATCATTTCAAAAAACATTATTATTTAAGACTAACAATATCAAAATTAAATAACTAAAATATACTTTTTTAAAATTAAGAGATCAAATCAAAATCTTATATAAAGTCAAATGATCACAATGTATACTTGTGCATGGAAAGAATAATAGAAGAAGGTAAAAATATAGCTAATGAAACTGGGATTTGGTTGTGGGCAAAAAAAAAAGAAATTAGGATGTGGGTCAATGAAATGTTTATAATTTAAGGAGGCAATGGAGAGGCCATTGGAGTCAAAGTTTTATAAAGGAGAGGAAACATGAAAACTAATAGAAATAAAAACAAAAAACAGAAAAAGTAATATTTTAATTAATAAAAGGAGCACACCCGTCTATTTCTTCTTTCCCTGTTTCCTTTTCAGTTGGCTCTGTGGTTGAAATGCCCACGCCACGCCTGCTTCACTTGCAATCTTTCCCAGGGGAGCTCCCAGCTTTACGCGGCGTAAATGGAGTTTCTTATGAGCTATGCACTCTATTTGTCCCCGTCCCCGGTCCCTATAAATCTGGATGTATTACCATACATGTCATGCCTGTTCCTTGCTAGAGCTGTGGGCTTTTTTTTTTTTTTTTTATACACACTCCTCTCATTCTATTTACAAGCCAAAAAAATAAGTTTTTTATTCTATTTATAAGTTATTTTATTAAATTTTTAATATAAATATACTATTTTTTCATTTATTCATTATAGCATAGATTAACGATTCTTTTTGAAGATATATATATATTAAATAGAGTTAAAGTTAAAAGTTGTTAGTGTATTTTAATAAAAAATTAATACATTTTAAGATTTTTTTATTATATAAAATATGATAGAAGTACTTTGTAAACTTGCTATTTAACGTAGCTAGTTACTTGAATGTCCGGCAATGCGCACTAAGGCGCTACCTCAACATAATTAACTCGGTCAAATCATGGCTTCATCGTGTTCCCATTTCAGTTTCCCAGTGTCGTCACAAATTTATATTAGGTGCTCATCATGATCGTCTAATAATTATTTTTTAAAAAATAAAAATAAAAATAAATCTAGACCGTCCAGATTTATTTTTATTTTTTAAAAATAATTATTTTAATATGTATAAGATAAAAAATAAAATAATATCTTAACTATCATTCTTTAAAAATATAATTTTTTCTATTTTAAAATAATTGTTTAATAATATTAAATATGAGCTGTCCAGATCTAATCTGGACAATCAAATACTCATCACCTGATGAGCACCACCGGATAGGGCTCGTGTCGTCACATTGTTAGAGGGGCCCATCCCCCTTCCTTTACGCCTTTCTTGTAAAACTGTCAACTCATTGTAGTGTTAGGTTTGTCTCTCCCATCTCTTCAAATTATGTAACCACGTTTATTTAATCCCAACAAGTTTCATTTAACAATAATTAATTAATTACTCTTGTGATTATTAGAAGATATTTGGATAGAAACCAAATCATAGTTTTAAAAGTACTTTTACGGTTTACGAAAGAAATATATGGAGGAGTTTGTCAAGGTTACCAAACACCCCCTTAATATAGGATTTAACTGAAAAATTAATACTAGTCTTATATATAAGACTTATTTTATATATTTATCAATTTTTTTCAAAGGCTTATTAATATTCCCCCGATAATAATCAAGTAAGAAACAAAAAAAAGAATTAAGAAAGATGCTTATAGTGTTTTTTTAAAAAAATATTATATTAACTAATTTAAATAAAATTTTTAATTTACTTAAATTAATTAATTAGGTTTTATATTAAGAACTGAAATATAATTCACTAACACCAGCTCACTGTAAAATTCCTTACACGGCATCGCGTAATTGTGTGGACATACGATGAACCAAAGGGACGTGTTGCCCCGAGGATGCAATTTGTATTTCCATGAATGAATCATTATCCAGTGGGAATTTTTCTATTCCTCCCAATTGCATATGGGTTGCAATTACAATGTGGTTGTTCCCAAGTCTGAATGAATAATAATATTCGTCTCGCCTTATTCGATCTTTCTGCGCAGCTTAAAACAACGAAAAGACATGGGTGGACGGGAGTATGGCGGCCCTTCATTTCTAGTTTGACCACCACAAAACACAACTTAGAACAAGTTCTCATTAAAACTAAGGGAAAATGGCCAAAAAAAAACAGCCAGAATAAAAAAATTATACATAGGGCCTGGTTTATAGAAATTATTATCAAAACCCATATTGTTGTTGTTAAAATCCATACTAATATTGTCATGGGTCTTTATTTGTAATTTTTCTGTTTTGGTGATTTTTTTTTGCCATTTTCCCTTAAAACTAACATTTTTTTCATTAATTTCAACATTTCAAATATAATCACTTACTCACTGGGAAAAAAAACCAAATATTACAGTAAAAATGATTTTTCGTCGAGCATTAAGCATCCACACGCATGATTCCAGTCCGCATCTGTCATATACTCATATGATTATTATTTACTATTATTATTTACATTGTGCTGGGTGTAATGCATATTATTGAATATCTATATATTTTGTTTTACTCTAACATAGCAGCGTCGAAACTATAATGTAAAAAAAAATTCGATTTAAAAATTATTATACAGGTCTCACAAGTCACAAGCAACGTTCATTATGAGAATGCAGCTAATATTTTGAGGACGCAGATTTTTTCCCCTCAATATAGTCTTAGAGCCAAATATTTATAATTTATAGTAATATGCAGTGCAGTTGAGGATATTGCCTTATTTTTTTTTTTTGTGTTCAAAAAGCACATTGTTTTTAAAACAGAAAAGAAAAAAAAAAAAGAAGACAATTGTAAACCTTCTGCAGGCTTGACGGCCTTTAATTATTAAAATGTTTTGAAAGGACCGTAGTTTTTATTTGCAATTAAATTATTAAGAGATGAATGATTTTACAAGGTTGTCCTTGCCACCAAACGCGAATAATAGCTAATGAAAGGTCACTCCTGAATTTAAGTTAGCTGTGTGCCTATGAGAAATCCAACTGTGAATTGAAAGTTAATCTTATAATTTATACACCATCATGGATGAATTCAAGAATACAATCACTAGTGCATTTTATGAAAGATTGCTTTTGAATTTGTATAAAATCAGTTATAAATTCACATTGTGATGCGTTGTGTAGATATAATTAAACGGAAAAAAAAAAACTGTGTGCCACCCAAAAGACTTCGAGACACTGGGGAAAAACCAACGACTTGTTGATAACAGAAATGAACACGGGGAAAACGCTGTCATTTCTGAACTCATAAGATTTAGAAATAACAATTTTTTTTTTTAATATTTTCAATAAGCACACATGTAACAAGTTCTAAAAATAAGTTGTTTATATTCTTAATATTCACGTATAGGAATAGAAAACTCTAAAATGACTTGGAGGAAAAGAAAATATATTACTCCTCCAGTCCTAAATATAAAATCTTTATATATACTGATATAAGGGTTTTGTATTTAGAATGAGAGGAGTGTCATTTATAAGCTTATATTATACCACAGAAACAAAATTCATAAAAAAAACACATGGTTTAGTCTTTTAATTTGCATATCTAGACTAAAATTGGTCATCTATATCTAAATATATCTACCGAATAACAGATTCTAAAATGAAACAAGTCACTGTTCATTCCCATCTTTTATTCACTAAAACTGTCATGTGCATCACGTGACGACTAAAAAGATATACTAGTTATCTGTATTATTTTTATTATAATTATTTATTATTTATTATCTATAAAATTCTATTTTACACCTGCAAAACAGCGTTACTTTTTGTAATAACATCGGTAAAAAGCCCCACGTTTTGTAAAATATATTACTTTTTTATAAAATAATTAAATTGATAGTATTTACTTAACGTTTTATTTTTATTATTTGTTTAATAATCGAGGAGGATAGAAGAAAAGAGAAGAATTTAATAAGTTAAATTAAAAAAATATATAGAAATGGGGATAAAAGTTTTAAATTATTTTGCTTACCTTTTCACC